ATATATTTTCTGTTATATTGAGCTATTGTCACTGGAAGCATGTACAAAAAAATGGGAAAATGATTTAGATTTAATCACAATTTATCAGATGCACGCACTAGCACGCGCCGCAATTTTTTGCACATGTTGTAGGTACAAAACGGAAGACAGATACTAAAATTTACCCACTTCTGCACATTGAATCGATGCTTACTTATACAACATTTCCATTTTCCCAGATCTACCTCGAACTAAATGAAACTAAGGTGTTCGCTAAGAAACTTAAGTCAAAGGATTGATTAAGTTCAATCTCAAATGGGACGCATTTTATCAATGGGGATTGACCCTACAAGGTCATGGGCTGAGATCTTTACGTAAAACATATAATTTATAATATTTTTTATATATATTATTGGAAACGGAGTAAGTTATCGATTATCGGAAACAAACTCGATCTGCGCAGGCACTAGGAGCACCTACATCTAAAATTTGAATATTTCCGCGCGGAATTATGTCGTTTTGGAACGTCATATCTCCGCGCGGAGTTATGTCGTTTTGGAACGTCATATCTCCGCGCGAAGTTATGTCGTTTTGGAACGTAATATCTCCCCGGGGAGTTATGTCGTTTTGGAACGTCATATCTCCGCGCGGAGTTATGTCGTTTTGGAACGTCATATCTCCGCGGGGAGTTATGTCGTTTTGGAACGTCATATCTCCGCGGGGAGTTATGTCGTTTTGGAACGTCATATCTCCGCGGAGAGTTATGTCGTTTTGGAACGTCATTCCTCCGCGGGGAGTTATGTCGTTTTGGAACGTCATATCTCCGCGCGGAGTTATGTCGTTTTGGAACGTCATATCTCCGCGGGGAGTTATGTCGTTTTGGAACGGCATATCTCCGCGGGGAGCCTTGTCGTTTTGGAACGTCATATCTCCGCGGGGAATTATGTCGTTTTGGAACGTCATATCTCCGCGCGGAGTTATGTCGTTTTGGAACGTCATATCTCCGCGGAGAGTTATGTCGTTTTGGAACGTCATATCTCCGCGGGGAGTTATGTCGTTTTGGAACGTCATATCTCCGCGGAGAGTTATGTCGTTTTGGAACGTCATTCCTCCGCGGGGAGTTATGCCGTTTTGGAACGTCATATCTCCGCGGAGAGTTATGTCGTTTTGGAACGTCATATCTCCGCGGGGAGTTATGTCGTTTTGGAACGTCATATCTCCGCGGGGAGCCTTGTCGTTTTGGAACGTCATATCTCCGCGGGGAATTATGTCGTTTTGGAACGTCATATCTCCGCGCGGAGTTGTCGTTTTGGAACGTCATATCTCCGCGGGGAGTTATGTCGTTTTGGAACGTAATATCTCCCCGGGGAGTTATGTCGTTTTGGAACGTCATATCTCCACGTTGAGTTATGTCGTTTTGGAACGTCATATCTCCGCGCGGAGTTATGTCGTTTTGGAACGTCATATCTCCGCGCGGAGTTATGTCGTTTTGGAACGTCATATCTCCGCGCGGAGTTATTTCGTTTTAGAACGTCATATCTCCGCGCGGAGCTATTACATATACAGAAATTCTATTCTAATTCTATATAATGAGTGATGCTGATCAAGAATATATATACTTTATGGGTTCGAAAATGCTTCCTTCTGCCTGTTACATACATTTGGATTTTGCCCAAATACAATATACGCTTATACCCATTTTTTATGGGTTCAGGGTATAAAAAAGATAGTTATCATTGAAATTGGTTTAAAACCAGCAATAAGGGCATTCCATTCGTTGATGGTAAAAGGGAAAACAATAATATTTTAAAACTGTTTTTTACAAATTTTTATAGGATCAAAATGAGGTTGCTAAATTCTTGAGAAATAATTATTATATAAATAGATATATAAAGATACGACTAATCTACCCTACAGTACGTGGGTAGAGCGAAGACTTGGTCAAAAACAAGCAGAAGCCAAAGTTGTCCCGGATCTGGAGGGTTACGGAGATTTACACAATCGATATGCAAACGGTATGTAAATTAGATATCTTTGGCTTTGCTATATAATCAATGCTCGAACGGAAGAAACACATATTTTATTGCAGAGCGACACATATCATAAAAATATTTTTATATGCGTTTTATAGTTAAATTTGTAATGTACATTCATTCGTTTATGCTTGTACATGTACATATACATAATACAAATGTATGTATGTATTATATACAAATAAACATAAGTAAATGTCAAATATATGCAAATATACAAGCATCATTTGAAAGTTGGTTAGTTATTTATTTTTGTTTACATATATATGTACATATGTATATGGGATAGCCATATACCATATTCAAATACATACATATGCATATATAAACAGACATGCACTCATACATGTGTATATTTAGTTACGTAGTGGAGAGAGTGAAACATGTACATACATAGAGATGGACTTATGAGTAATTGTATACATACATATGTATGTATGTCATTGGGTACAACGCATTAATATATGTATATAAATTATCACTTCAAGAAGTGCATATCAATATAAATATGTATTAGTGTTAGTCCATATGCACTTGAGTATGTGGTTAAGCAAAAAGGGAAATCATATTTTAGTTATGTTATACTTTTCTTTCACTTCCTATGTATATGTTTGTATGTGCACTTGCTTTAGTACTCTCAATAATAATTACTAATGTTCATATATATGTATATATATATATGGGTATTTATTAATGGTATAAATGCAAATACATATATGAATTCTTTTGTATGCACTTTTGAGGATTTATGTACATATGAATACATGTATACATCTGCAAATAGGTATTTCTACATCTATATATGTATATGTAGTCAATATTGTAATTATGCACGTACATTTAAATGTAGAAAACTATGTTTGTTATTAGAATCCGAACGCATGCAACATTACGAACCGAAAATTAAAAATGGACTGATATACTAAGAATGAACAACTTCAACTTCACACATGCACGATTGTATATATGAATCGATGATTGTACATGAAAGTAAGTGTATGCATGTGAATCTATGTATGTGTTTCTGTATATATGTATGAACGTCGACAAAATCAGGTTTAAGTGGAAGCGTGAGCAACAGGTTTGCATTAATGTAAGCACGAATTGATCCCGACAAAATTGTCGAAATCAATATATCGCTTTAAGCTGCGATGGTACTCTAAGCATTGGCTATTTGAAGTAAACATGTAGATAGCTTCTACTGCTTTTGGCATATGATTCCAAAAATATCGATAGTTCTCCAAAGACTATTTTAACTATTTTAGCGCAAAAGCAGATACTTCTATATATTTCTTAAGACGTTCAATTTTTTAATTGCATTTTATTTTTATTAATAGCTCTTAAAGTGTATTAAAAAAGGATAAAAGGCAGAATTTGAGTGGTTAGAGTCTGCGTTGATTTTTAATACGGATTTAGCACGAAACCATTGAAGAAGAGCATTATTAGTACATATATATATATTGATATTTAATTAAAAAGGAGCTACTTTCGATTGATATTGGCATAAAATTAGTTAGGAGCATTTGAGGTAGGGTACAGGCAAATTTTCTTTTAAAATACATGTGGGGAAATAAAGTATAAATTATTTGACAAATTAAAAACAATTAAATTTAAAACAAGTCGTATGAAAAAAGATTATTTTTCTTATATGCACATAAATAATGTCATTAACTTGTCCAGATTCTTCAGATGTTAAATATGTTGTTACAGATTTTAATGATAAAAATATCGATATAAGCTCACGGCCGAAAATGGCGGAATGAAGGCGTGCCCTAACAAGATTACCCTGGTGAAGGATTAGCCAAGTCCTCGGACACAAGCAGATGTGCGGTCTTTCGTGGACCTATGTTTCTACTAGCGTAAATTTATCGTGGCCAACACCACGCTAATGCGTCCGAGCTGTCTGCACCCACTGTGTTTTTGTTTGATTCCCTGCCACCCGACAATCAAGGTGTCCTGTTCCTACAAATTCAGTCAATCGACTATGCTAAGCAGCAAAACGAGGATCCGACTCTGACAATGATTTTGTCTTAGCTAGGAAAAGAAAATCGAGCTTCCAGTTGTGTCATCTTGGACAAGAGCTTTAAACTAAAGCTTACAGGCATATGCTCGAGTCTTAGAGGGGCAATGTAACGAAAAGTGCGAAACCAGCACGTTCCTTTCCACCGTTCCTGCTTTGTCGCTATCTGCATTTTTTATCCAAAAGCGGTGGATTTCGCGAAAACTGAATCAACTAAATGTTTTAAAGGATCTTTCTTATGGTGGCAATACATATAAAATAAAATGAAAATATATATGAAAATATGCGATATAGATTTTTATTTATTGCTTGGTTATCGCAAAAATCCATATTCTGCGGGCACTGAGAAGACCTAATACCGAATAGACCAGGCGGAAATAGTTAGATCGACTAGCTAATTAATGCTGATCGAGAATATATAAATATTATTTATTAGGATGTGCTTTTCTCTGTCTGTTACATACATTTGCACAAAAACAGCATACCCTTTGCAGACATTTTCAATGGGTATAAAGACTTTATCACTAATGGTGGATTTTTACCATACGATCGGCTTTAATATAATTTCCAACGATTTTAATAGACATATTTAATATTTGAATATTTTATCGATGGACCTTAAGTTCAAATATTCGGGTAAATTTAATTTGCCCGCTGGTATATATATATTTTTGTGGGTAAATGTTCCATTTGGGTTTATAAAACATTAAATAATAAAACATTACGTTTTTTTCAATTACAGCAGAATGTTTTCGTGTTAAAAATCAAGTGAGACTAAGAATTTATATTTGTTCTGTGGGTATCACACAGTAAATATTTAATTTAAGAAAAAAAAAGTTAATACACAAAATGTGCCTCAACATAAACAAAGTGGTGCAACATTTGGTGTTGCCACATAGTCTTTAATATTCTATAGCTATCGCGCAAACATATCGGAAAATCGATAAGCGTGTTGTTATTCAGTTTTTAACAACTCACCACGAAAGACTTCAATGGCAAACAAGTTTTGCAGTTATTTACAATTTTCCGTTCATAGTAAAACTCAACGCGCTTCTTTATTTCTTTTGGACGCGTTTCTGTACGTTTCGTGACATTTACATACATATTTACAACTAAAAGCGATGGAAGTGTGTTACATTAAATAAATACGTACATGCATTTATAGATGCATTTATATGTAAATATCAGATTGTGCGCAATTAATTGATAATATCGTGCCATATAAACAAAATGTAAGGTACATACATATGTCGCATAAACAAAATATATGTTGGTGGATATAAACAAAGTGTACATACTAACAAAATGAATGTATGTATCTAAATCCTATTTAGGTTTTGATGAACTTGTAGAAACATGCATTTATAAACAAAGTGTACATATAAAAGCAAATTTTATTTGACCATATATGCATGTATATACATAAATATGTATGTATGTGTAATAAGTATGTAAGGTGGTAAATAGATACGTAGAAATGTATGCTTGCCGCTTTCTCAGGCAACTCAAGAATGGTTTAATATATACATACGATACAAATGCGTATGTGTGTATACATGTTTTGAATGAGCAGGCATTTCTTACCGTAAACAAGACGCACAGTTAATACACACACACACACACACACACACACAAACAAATGTATGTATTTAATACCTGAAGGTATCAGGAGCAGCACCATCAACGTGCCTAACACGCAAACATATTTATATAAATATGTTTGTAAATAAATATGTATGTCGGGCACGTGTGTTAAATCTTACAGTTGATGCTTCCAACGACCAATTACAAATTAATGTTAATCAAATGTATGCAAACATACATATATCGTACTCTCGTAATTTGTAACCATGAATTGAATGAATGCAAGCGTATTATGTGTGAAAGGGGTGAGTGTTTTTGTTGCATTTAAATATGTACAAATAATATTTGTGTCCACATCGATCTGGCAACATAAGGATTTACAACTACAAGCACATATCCACATATGTACATGCATACATACACATTCATGATTGGTGCCAGTTTTCTGGCAATGCAGTAGACACCGTGTTCTTATGGCAATGTGTGTAGAAATGATTAAATGGATGCACATCAGACACAAATGTCGCATTTGTATTGTGTGCGTGTACTTGTCGCCAGGATTGAATATACGCATGTATGTGTACTGTATTTCAGCAGCATCTATAATGCAAAAATTTGTTATTAATTAATTAATAATTAATTATTAATGAAAGGTTTTAAAGAACTAGTTTGTAGGTTTTCGTACATGCAGATCCAGAATATTCACTGTAAGGAGAACCTCCGTTACCTGCAAAATTGCAAAAAAAAAATAATTTTTGTAGAAATAGCCTTGGCTTTTGAAATATACTCACCTGCGCTTAGAACCTGTGAAATACTCTCCTGATTTGTTAAGCTGTTTATTTTTCGGGCATGAAATAGGGCAACTTAATGTGGGTGGATATTAAGGCTAAATACTATTTCTTTGCAAATAGATTTTTTCTTTTATTTTTTCTTTTGGGGAATTAGTATTGGTCTGCAATTTGTAAAAGCATCGATATATCTTTAAAATACTAGGTTTCGATATAGATTTTATGAAAATGGAATGGATACTCGTACTGCTCAGTTACTAGGAGGACCTATATTCAACATACATTATCTAGATCCTAAAGGCCTTGAGAACGAGGCGTTTATACATACGGACAGACAGACGGACCTGACTAGGTTATCAATAAAACTCTGTTTAATCTTTGGCCCAATTATTTACTTTTAGGAGAAAAAAATCCGTAATTCCGCAAAGTTAATTTGTGCCATTTGTGTTTGCAAAGGGGTTAAAGTTTCGGCACTCCGAAGACTTTTGCTTAAATGAAATAAAAACAGTTTTTTATAATTAATTTTGCTTTTTTCCAGATGACTTCGGTTGTGAGTGTCGCTAACTGATCAAAAGTAATCTATAATTATGGACAAACACACATGCGCAAGCCCGATATGTTAGGAACAAAGAAATGAAAAATAATAACATTCTGAACAGACATCAAAAACATAGTTAAAAAATGTTCCAATCTGATATTAATGATCACACACTGATGCCTGTTATACAAGAATTCGCCATATATTATTAATCTTTAAAGCTCAGCACTCGGCCGTCCTCAAAAAGTCAATAAGAGTTGTGCTGTTCAAATTAAATATCAGTCATTTTTTATTGCGTCACGAAAAATGTCATTTCTAGTGAGGAAACATTTTCTCTTGTGGAACATAATAATGACTTTTGTGCCGCTATCTGTAGCAGGTCTAGATGCAATTACGGGCTTACAAGGCGTTCCAACATGGATGTAAGTATTAACAATTTCATTTCATAAATGTATAACAGCATATTATTTTCCCAATTTTTTAGGTGTACATAGGTTCAATTAATTTGCAATAATGCTAAAGCTTTTGGTGTCTTAACATTAAATAAATATGTATTGCTAATGTTGTGGGGGAAGTGGTCGTCGCCACTTTATCAACAAACTATTTAAAACAAGTTAAAGTGTGGAAAGCGAACGACTAGGAAGTACTCGCAAACAAACTCGTAGCGCCAGCATCACTTGGCGTTGGTAAGAGTGGGTTCACGATATCCCCTAGTCGGAAACTCCCAATCTCCTGGAGCGTTTGTTATGCACAGGGAATGCACTTCAACAAATGTTTAAGATGTATTTATGTACAGTACGAGTACAAACATACATTAGCGATTTTGATCTTCGTAATGAGCGCTACATTCTTATTGTACATCAAAGTCCTGCATCGAGTCGACTCAAACGTGTTTCCCAACAATTATTACGGTCGTGCGAGGCGTGACTCGAATTATTTTGTGTCGAGCTGTGCGAGTTTCTAAAAAAATATTGAGTCGGTCGACTCAGGCGAAACTTTGGTTCAATCGAAAGAATACGTTCATTCTGCACACTTATTTGCCTTCGTTGTTGTTGTTTATATTTTTCAAACAAACTTTGAACACCATTTTCCCTGATTAGAATGTCGTTTTTCAAGGTTTAGGTTTTTTATATTAAGTTTAATATAAAGCTCTGGTCAAATTAATAGTCGGCGCGATTAACAAAAACTAATTTTCGTTCGCAAATTCCACATGAGATAATGCTGTGCGAACTATAATGATCTGATCCGTCCGAGACTGCGGTATGTGCTGCCTGCAACAAAAAGGCAAGTGGAAAAGCTTTTGAAACTGAGAGACGCACTTGCAAAAAATGATATTCAGACATCGCTTTTGATACTTATCAAAAATATGTACATATTATGGGATCAGAGTTGTCTCATGCAATACTGCAATACTTAAAGCATTTCGTGAACAAATAATGATACACTCTGCTGAGTATTTAAAATATGTAGAATATATAGCTTGGAATCGTAGTTTCCGGCTTACTCTTCAGCTTTAAATTATGGTTAATAAAAGTAGGCATAAATATATGCAAAACTTACAATTAATCTTATAAAGCTGCATGAGGTGCAATTAGTATAATTACTTTTCAAGGGTGTTGAATTTTCAGCATACCAAAGATAGATTTTCTAGCGTGTTTTATTTTTTATTCCGGATCGCTGACGCAGTCGCCGTATTGATAAGCACTTAAGTATAACTGCCTCAATCTTTGACTCACCATGTTGAGTTTTGCGTATAAGTAAGAAAATACAAAAAAAAAAAAAAAATACGGAGGCTGTAGCTATTTTCGAGTGCCAGCATGTGAAAAAAACTCTCGTTCAGAGCCATGAATTAGTTTAAAATATATACTTATCAGGAGCGGTTGTACCAACAGAGTCTAAGCACATAATACATAAAAAGCTCTCTTCGTATACTATATGCACTACAACAAAATACATGTTTAAAACCCGACGAATAGCTGATAACACTCGAAGCAACTAGAAGCTTAACTTGTTACAACAAGAACCAGCAAGATTTTCAATACGATCCGAGAATTTACCGAACAATTTTCGTGATAGACCCACCTTGAACTGGAAATGTTTTTCAGCGTTCTTCCCAGTTTCCTTTTGGTGTTCTTATGTGTGGTACCCGCTTATTCCGTATCGAGCACATGGGGAAACATTTCGAATTCGGCGCAATTATTACATGCTGAAAACGTTGTGTACGGCTCTTCACCCGGAAAATATGTGGATCATGAAATAAAATATCCAACAAATGTGAGCAGTTACACTTACGACCGTGGTTTAATCTTATATGTATTTATTAGTGTTAAATATACTCGATTAATATTGCATGCCATTCGCATTGTTGCCGCATTGATTCGATTTCTTTCTGTTAACAAGTTTCAATTATCCTATAAAAGTGTATAAACCGGGTAAATGGCCACATCTGTGATTCCTATAATTATTTTGTCTGTTTTCCTCTCATCCATTTGCTTGTTTCTTTGTATGAAGGCAGATTTTGGTAAATACTGATGTATATATATAGAAAATTTCGTGTTGCATTCAGTAAATAATGGTTTCGTATGCATTTAAAACTCTATATTGAACGACGGGCTGAAAAATATAATATTGCCAATAGGATGAGTGGAAAGTCCTAGACTAGAAGGTTAGGCCATATGCGAATACATTTGTATACAGTCCAGTTCTGTTGCCTGTATGAACACCCTGTTCAACATTCAATAAGACCGAGACAAGAGACGTATAGTTTGAAAAGCTGAATTAGCGTATCCAGATCTTACCGAAAATCTATATCTACCATAATTTTACAGCTAGGGCTACCAAATTAGATTATATTATCTGTGATGTTCAATTCAATTCTCACCTTCATTCAACCACAACTGCACGCTTCAAAAATGCATCTCTCTTTCAGTTTTAAGCTCGCAACGTAAAAATATAGTTGTATGGACTTAACTTTCATAATCAATGCGTCTCATTTCCATCGGATCCCAATTTTTATTACGGTGTGAACAGACTGCTGACTTAATTATTTACTTCATAATAATCTTTGCCTTTTCCATTTCTCTCATTGATATTTCTAAAATAAACCACATAACCAACAATCCTATTCTTATATATAATCACAACTGTGCATATTAAACGTAACTAAAAAAATTAAAATTCGATAGTTTTCGTTCATGACAAAAAATTACATCAAAAGATAAAATATTAAATTAAGATATTGTCACATAGTAAAAGTAGATACTATTGTCGAAAACTTTTTAATTAAAAAAAATCAACTATATTCGACATTTTACTTAAAAAAAGATATACATTTAGATTTCGTTAAAGCAAAAGCACACGAAAGAACAAACGGCCGATAAAAGTAGTAAAATTATTTTTCTAAACAACTTTCTGGTTTTTTTTTGGTCAGAATATGTTTTCTTTATTTTATTGTAATCTTTTCTGGTTATTTTTATTTTTAAATCCCTCTCTATCTATATCTTCTTTGACTCCTGATCGCAGCTGATCGACAAAGTCTAGATCGAATCTAAGAATTTAAATCAGTTTTGGGAATTCCACAAATGATTAACAAGTTATGGAACTACAAATAAGATATAATAAGCAGTGTACAATATATATATCATTGTAAAAATCAGCCCACATCATCATCATCTTACATTGTACATTGTACGAAAAATAATTGAACACTATTTTATTTACGCACGCAAATCTGTAAATAGTTGCACTCAAATAAACGCTTGTGAAAAGTACACTACCTAACAAAACAAAAATATAAAAGTTTTCGGTTTCCACACTTTAGGGTATTGGTAATGGGCGCATCATTACGGGCATACGAGCTTTCGACCAGGTGACAAACAACACAGGAGGTCATGCTACGATTTATTCTGGAGGCCCCGGTTTTAACTTTGTCAACATCAAACTACAATCCCAGTATAATTATGGCTTAATATTTCGTGTTGAAATTTATGGAAAATAAATAACTAAACCATTTTTATAAAAATATATTAAGAATTAATTTAAACCGAATTGGGGCTGTAATATTTAAACGTCGTGATTTTTAAGGGATTACTTTAAGTAACTAAATAAATAGTTCAATAATTTAAATTGTTAAGTATCTGATTTAGTTTTAAATCTTTGAAAAGCATATCAATTTGCGAGTAAAATTCGTAACAGAAATAGTTAAATGTTTGTCGAATATTTTATACAAACCGTATGTTGCATTGAAAAACTATTTATACTATTGCACAATTGATACTTTAAAATGTTAGCTGGCAGAGTTCCACAAAACATTTGCTGAATAACTGAATATGAATAAGACCACATAAAACACAAAATGTATACTAGATACACAAAACATATAGGTTTATTATAAGACACAGTTATGTTCCCCAAATTTCAATCTGAGACTTAATGCCACTGCCTCGTGCCGAGGTAAATTTCACGGTGACTGTTGTTGATCCTACACCGCCACTCATAATTTCAGCGGTGGCTCCTCGCATTTTTTTGAGATTTGTTATATTAATGTAGTCGATATTTTTTGCCGTTCCTGCCTGAGTTAGCGTGTATGTCTTAGATGTTGTCTGGAGCAGCGTCTTACTTTTGGAAATAGTCTCACGTGCGATAAGTGTGCTGGTTGTCAGCTTAGCACCATAGGTGTAGTCGTAGCCTTCGCCATTATTTCCGCCTAATCCATGGGTCACGCAGACACAAGTGCACATCAAGAGTATAAATACAAGAATGGAGTTCATTGTATTTTGGCTAAGAGTAAAATTTGAACTGATGCTTCGTTTGAAGATTGTCTGTCTTTTATACAGCACTTCCACTTCCAAATGGGAAATCGCTGCCCACCGTTGGCCTACTTTGATAATTTAACATTGAAAGCACCTTTGACAGTAATGGCAACACCTGGCTACCTATCTATGATAAGCATACACTGCGCATAGATCCCCCAAAATATGTTGAAACAGCTGTAACTGTTCTTTGATGATGTCTCAACAGCATACAAAAACTTGAAAAACCCGTTCATTAAAATGAAAACTATGTTTTTGAGGGAAAATCAATTTATCTGTTCAATTTAATCAAACACGTTAGGCTACCAAGGTAACCAATTTTCGTCATTCCAAATATCCACTATACCTCAACAATGCACTTAGTCGTCAATAATTCCGAATCGGGGTAAACAAAAACGGTCTTTACAAAATTTGATCTCTTCAATTCTTTGATCGATAAAACTCGAATAACTATTATACACAGCTCTTATAATTGGTGAGTAGATATCCATAAATAAAAGTGGATTTCTATTAGCTTATAAATATTATTATAAATCTTATAAGTTAAATCAAACATGAGATTACTCTCGTCTACTGTAATAAGATTTGAAATACGCAAATTATTGAAGAAAACGTTTTCCTATCACACTGAGAAGATGATAAACGATTGCATTAATTCTTGCACATTTTCTGATCTCAGTCAGATTGGTTGATTATGTAATATAGCTAGCATGGGTACAATCGGTCGAGAATGGAGTCGATTGGTGTTGAACCCTTTGTAGATAGAACTTCTAAACTATACCTACTACGGTTGTTTGGCCACTGCCAGGATTATGTGGATTCACCCTATTATGTGTTGGTCTAATAAAGTTATGGACACAAATCTGATTCTGGAATTTTTAATTTATTACAGATATATGTTTTAGCACAACAGTTCGATAGTTTTAAAAACGTATTATACTTGAAATAAAATTTCTAAAAACTTCCTACATTTTCACAGCTGTCTAGGGATAAGGTCGCCATTTATCGAATTTGGCGCGCAGGAAGAGCAGCTAGCTAATACGAGTATACCGCTAAACATCACTAAAGATGAACAGGCGTACATGCACAAAGAAGGCTTGCGCAAGCTTGGTACTTTTATAAAGCCGGTGGATCTTCGTGATTCTGAGACAGGCTACGTAAAGGCAGATCTTACAAAAAGACTGGAAACACCAAGCGCTCAGGCTCGGCGTGTACATCCGATTCAGGAGGAAATGGATCAAAAGCAGATAATTCTGCTTGACGAAGATACCGATGAAAATGGTCTTCCAGCCAGTCTTACAGATGAGGACCGCAAGTTTATTGTCCCCATGGCACTCAAAAATGCATCGCCTGAGTTACGATGGGCCGTTCCAGGTAAAAGCCCTGTTTCTACAAGTACAACACCCACGAGGTCTGTTGTGGCGTCGGCGGTAACCCGGCGTCGAAGCACAACAACGTTTACAAGCACAACACCGCCGCCTGACCCTACATCAAATATTGACGACCTTAAGAAACACATACTTTTTTTGCATAATATGACAAAAAGCGACAACAACTTTGAGTCCAAATTTGTGAAATTTCCAAGTTTACAAAAAGAAAAAGCAAAACAATCAACAGGATCTACTCCCAGTATTAAGCGGCCCCAGAGACCAATACTTCAGTATGCCGCTCCCATAGCTCCACCCACACGCAAAGTACCTCTCGGAGCTCACACACCAGGGCAAAAGCCGTTCGGTGGATATTATCACAACGAAGAAGAAACCAACAATTTTTTTCAGACGATCGATACCGGTGGTACAATCGATCGTAGTAAAGAACGCGGAAATGCATTCGATACAGTCCCTCAGGTGCATCTGCTGAGTGAGGGACAGTCGACGTCAACAAAAAGCGTTCCAATGACAACTACGCCGTCTATTTTGGATACAACAACCAAAAGAACTACAAAGCGTCCAGTTTGCTTGCGAAACCCTGAGTCTCCCAAGTGCGTGCGCCAGCGGCAGCGCGAGGAGCAGCAGCGCCAGCGTGAGCGCGACGAATGGTTTCGCGGCCAAGCTGAGTTTATGCGACCACGTTTTGAACCTATTGTGCAAACAATAAATAACACTAAACGTTTTGCTGTGTCAATTGAAATACCCGATTCATTCAAAGGACAATCTGCTTTGACACCATCGGACGAAGCTCCAGCGCTTCAAATTTTATCGCGTGTCACACGCTCACAGCCCAAACGGCGCTATCTCAGCGGCAGTCAAGGACATCAAGCTGCAATCTCAGTTGATAAGCTTTCACCGCCGACGAATTATTTCGCACATGATATTATAATGACTTCAGCGGGAGTCTCCAATGATCGTGATTTTATGCTCGCAAATATGCACCAGTTTGGAATGGTGGTGCCAAAAGACCAAGACAATGAAACTACGCCCACTCCAATGGCTTATTCCGAGACTATAGATCTAAACCCGGATAACTGTTACGCGCTCGACGGGCTTACATACGGACAAAAAAAACTGTGTGCCTTGCACACAAGTGTTATGCCAGCGATAAGTCGAGGAGCGCGAGCATCTATACAGGTTTGTTATATATGTACTTTATGTATATATGTATTTTATCTTTGCAAGGAAGATATATAAAAGTAATCTGCTATATATAACTTTTTATTAATAGGAATGCCAATTTCAATTTAAAAATCGGCGTTGGAACTGCAGCACAACAGACGATGTTACTGTGTTTGGGCCCATGACTGGCCTAGGTAAGTGCTATTTATTTATTTTGTGTATATAGAACTTTGTACTGACTAACTGTATATAATATATATAAAGAGATTTTGAATCTAATCTTTACGTATTCACGTGTCCTTGCCGTTAACATTATAGGGTCGCCAGAAATGGCCTTCATACATGCACTAGCTGCAGCTACTGTGACCAGTTTTATTGCTCGCGCCTGCAGAGATGGTCAGTTAACGTCGTGCGGCTGTTCACGAGGTTCTCGACCCAAACAGTTACACGATGATTGGACGTGGGGAGGCTGCGGGGACAATCTCGAGTACGCATACAAGTAAGTACAAGTTTGAATTAGGGGTTCGCCGCAATTTAAAGTTATATAGTTATATATATTTTAATTATATATATATAAATATTGTTAGATTTGCAACAGATTTTATTGATGTACGCGAAAAGGAGACACGTCGCGGAACTCGCGGTGCCGGCAATCCCGAGCGGCGTGGTACGCATCAATTACAACAAAAACGCAAGCAGATGGAGGCTAATGGCACAAAGGACACTGGAGAGTCCAATTTAAACATAACGAATTCCAAAACTACCAAACAGCTTCCCAATGAAGCTTTGACTGATAATAATGCAACGTCAGCCATTTTATATGAACTGCAGGCCAATGCCAACAATAAAAAGAAAGATATATTTCTTGATACAAACTCAACAATAAATTCTACATCATTTGCACCGCCCAAACAAGATGAAGAGGCACGCACTAGCCCGGACGATCTATTGGAGCTTCAGCAGAGAATAACAAAGGAAATTCTTAATTCAAAATTAAAGGAAACAGAAATGCTCGAATTACAGGTGAGACTTGACATGTAGTTATATGTAGTTAGGTTGGCTAGAAAAATATATTAATTAGCAATGAAGAACATTCATAAAAGTGCATACATCCTCATCTGAAAAAAATATATAATATTTCGTCAATCTCCGACTCCCATTTAAGTAAGCAGTCACATATTTAATTCAATTTTTTACATATTTTTGTAACAGGAGAAAATCAATCGGGAAATTTTAAACTCAAAGCTTTTCCACGGAGACACCAACGCCAAGCGCCGTAAACGCAAGCGTAAGAATCAACGTGCCGTCAGTGGTGAGGCTCCTTTTTTGTCCAATACTAACATGAAGGCTCGGAGCCTAATGAATTTGCACAACAACGAAGCAGGCCGAAGGGTAAGACTTTATTTACCTAATTAATAAAGTAAACTACTTACCAAAGTTGGGATCTATAGATACAAAATTCATTTATTTAACATTTTATGGCTTAAAGTAGTGGATATTTTTTTCCAATTTATTTATTTTACTTCTTGCTATGGTTTGGATGGGGCAGGCAATAGCTATAAGATTAAAGATTTGTATATTCTATTTTAAATTTGAAAATTGTGTTTTGATATTCTTGTTTAATGAACGAAATTTTACTTTTTAATAAATAATTAAATAAGTAGTAAAGCGTAGAGTGTAAATATTTATACCCAAGCAAAATTTTGAATTAATGTGTTTTTTCTTTTTTCAACTCAAACAGGCCGTCATTAAGAAAACACGCATTACTTGCAAGTGCCACGGTGTCTCAGGCTCTTGCAGTTTGATCACGTGTTGGCAGCAATTATCATCTATAAGAGAGATTGGTAAGTGCATTAAGGGGTAGATTAGAAAATGGGAAATGTTGGCCACATAAAATCTAAGTAAATTAGGTTTATAGATTATATAGCAGCGAATGATAAAGAATACGAAAATCTTCCAAATGTATAGTATAGTAAATAAAAAAAATTATTTATAGCCACACATAGTTGATCAAACTTATACATTTACATTAAATAAATATTTCTATTTTCTAGGTGATTATTTGCGTGAAAAATATGAAGAGGCTACAGAAGTAAAGCTTAATAAACGTGGACGTCTACAGGTAAAAAACAGCGAGTTTAAGGTTCCAACTGCCCACGATTTAATTTATTTGGATGAGAGCCCCGACTGGTGCCGGACTAATCGTCTCTTGCAATGGTCAGGTAAACGTTTTTCCCCATAGCAGTTTATGCATGTATATAAATTTGTATAATACTTATTGATGTTGATTATTAGGTACGCACGGCCGCGTCTGTAACAAGTCCTCATCGGGGCTTGATGGCTGTGGTATACTTTGCTGTGGCCGAGGATACAACACCAAAAATATTATCGTTCGTGAGCGCTGCAACTGCAAATTTCACTGGTGCTGCCAGGTTAAATGCGATGTATGTACAAAAGTACTCGAGGAGCACACTTGTAAATAGGTATTCTATAGGCAGCACAGAAAATGTCCATATGATCACGATTCACATTAACATAACATTAAACGTATTTATATATCGACTTAGAATATTATTTATTAAATTATATAAGTAACATGTCTGTTGCATAATGGATTTTTTCTTAGCCACTTATTTACAATCAAGGTTATACCATAAGGTTTGAAAAGTGTATATGTAATACCATATACACAAAAATATAATTTAATTTCAAAATTTTAATGATAAATTATTAAATTGGAACATTTTTTTAATGCTATATGATTAACTGTGGATTTTTTTTGGATCTCCAAAACGATATGTCTGTAGCTTAACATTCCAGATTATAGTATCTCCATGTTGCATTTTGGCAAGTGTATCTGCATCAATTTATTATTACAAGGGTATGTATAAAAGACTGTACTTAAAACTTTAGCAGAGATATACAGCAAAGGGTTATATGGGGGTGTATTTGAGTATATAAATGTAAGGGTTAATTTGCACAATGAATATGTTGTATGCTGTCTTGTTTTCATACCCTGAACCCATTATAAATTGGTAAAAAGGGTATAATGTTTTTGTTGAAATGTGTGTAACAGGCAGAAGGAAGCATCTCCGACCCCATAAAGTATATATATTCTTGATCAGCATCAATAGCCGAGTCGATTCTGTCGCCCGTCTGTACGTCCGTAGGTATGAATGCACAAATCTCAGAAAAGCGAGAGCTTTGAAACTTGGAAAGTAGGTCCTGCTAGTGCCCGCGCAGTATATGTTCGTTACTAATAATCGATAACTTACTCCGGTTTCAAGGTAACGTTTAGTCCTTATGGACGACGTTTTTAAGACTTTTCGACTTATACTAAATTAGATTTGAACAATTTAGGCACACAAGCTTTTATTTTTTAGGTGAAATACAATAGTGTGTCTTCCTACATGTCAAAGTGAATTCATGTGGAATCTTAAATGGGTATTATCAAGAATCAGGAAGAGCTGGCAATGGATCACTTGAAATACGTTTTGTTCGCGGCGTAATTTGTGCGTACCTGACGCTGCCTCTATGAGCGAAAGATGGATGCCAGTTATTAAATATTTCAAATCCTGGCTGGTTTGGTGCATCGCCTTGTGGTATTTTATCGAATGTTATATATGTCGGGATGACTTCATATAGGTTTGGGCTTATGTAGCTATTGCTGCTCGCCAGGCTGTCCATTGAGTTGCGCCTCGGAATGTTTGAATTGAACCTTTAAATAAAGAATTACAATAGTTATTTGATTCAATATGTTCTTTAAATTTACTTACCGATGTTCATTTTTTTTAGAAATCATTTTTTCTTTATGCAGAAAATCTTTTGCTGTATTACCACGTGATAGGACGACAATTTCGCCGGAACTTGAATTTGGTTTGATGATCCGCTTGCTGCCCTTTACCCAGATTGGTTTCTTCTTCAAAACCAAAAACATTAGCATTATGCCCACCAACATGAATACAACGACACCAAGGACCAGCAGAGATATACCCTATGAATAAATTTGAATAGGAGTTTCTACATATTAGTAAGCAGCTGATGTATACAACAACTATTTACGATATAACCAGAGTCATTCACATTGCATTTAATCAAAAAACAAGTAAGTGGCTCTAGTCGGGAGTTACCGACTAGGGGATACCCTGACCCCCGTGTTTGTAAGTTAGATTTCCCCTGCCATTAATATCGGATATTTCTTAACATAAAAAACATTTAAAATATATAAACTGATATTTACTTTGGCACGCATTCCTTTCGAAAGCCAGGCATCATAATATGCTTCCAAATTACCACCAATATGTACTGACTTACAGCTGAAAGGAGAAACAGTGTTATGCTGATCATCAACCAAACAAAATGTATAAGCTACGTTTGGCATTAAGTCTGTTACAATTGTCTGCAGTGGCATTGTAAAATAACAACCAAGTCCAAACTCGTCTGGTATGAGTTCCATCATGTAATACTCCTTTGTAGTTTTCGAGAACCAAAAGAGACCAAAAGACAGGGCGCTTGTGCTTTCGCCCTGTTCGACACTAATTTTTACTGTAAGGGCCCCAAAAGCTGCAGGGGAGAAGTTGATCTGCGGCCACCTTATATTCTGTCGGTTCTCATCAGTTTTGAAAGTATTGTTTGTGGAAGAACACTCCAACGTTATGATCTCATTGGGAATCACGGTGCCAGCTGTTGACAGTGTTGGAATAAAAATATGATTATCCGTTGTTGTTTTCGGAGTCGTAGAAGTAATTGTTGTTGTGATTATTCCCGGGGTTGTTGTTGTCATGAAAACAGATGGAGGTACATCTGAATAATTTTCACAAAGTCGATCATCGAAAACCATCCAATTTTTGTATTCTTCTGGAGACGTGCAAAACATGTCTAGTTTTGAATTGTGATAAATGAAAATCTCATTCATTTCCTTTTGCAATTGACAGTCACAATGCCAGTCATTGGAGCTTGCGACTATTCTCAGATTATTTGAAATTTCGTGTACACCAAATATAATTTTGGATAGCGTCATTAGCTTGTTATATGATATGTCCAAATATTCCAAATATTTCAAACCTGCAAAAAAATGAACATCATTTTATTAATTTCATACTGGTGCTCTAACCAGCTACTAGTTGTCTTAACGTAGTTTTAGGCTAACAGATTTTGACTCAATTCTGCTTCGTCTAGCCGTTAGTTAAATCGGTAAATCGGTATTAACTAGTGGGAATGTTGTCGAGTAGAGTTCACTTAACAAATGTAATTAAATTTTATACATATCATTTTAATCGGCTTACCTTGAAAAATATAGTTTGGTAAATACTCAATATTCGAATGCGACAGAATCAGCGTCTCGACCATGGTTAATTTGATGAACGTGTCTTTGAGCAATTGGTCAGTAAAGTTGTTGTAGCTGAAATCTGCATAAGTAAGTGCACCCAAAATTGGATCAGTGCCCGTCACATTTCGTACACAATCGATGCCAACTTGAAGCCTCAGATATTCAAGTTGATACATCACATAATCCAAAAAATCGGGATAAACACATTCTAGGGCCCTATTGTGCTGGATAATTGAAATTCCTTTCAAATCTCCTGACACGTTGGCTAGAAATTCCTTGTCAATTTTATTAAGATGAAGGTCTTCAAGAGTTATACGCTTGAATATGCCTCCACCAAATGCCCCGTTCTCAATATCCTGTATGTTTGAGATGCCCAAATATAATTGTTTGATCCTATTGGTGTATGTAGATAGAAATCCGACTGGTAGCACTGCATTGGAAAATCTATAGTTATAGAGGTACAGCTCGTCAATGATATCACATGGGTCACTCTAGTTTAATAGAAAAGAATGTTTAGAAAATATAATCAATGTAAAGTAGTATATACTCACATTATCTGGGCTCGCTAACGCAAGTGATATATCCTGCGCGATCTCGCCCTGTCGCCCATTGGTGCAGATGATACGGCACTGGACTCTTAAGCATTTTGGTGGCATCGGTGGCCCAGTATCTGCTTCTCCAAGATAATCACTGAAATATAAAACAAATGAGAGTGCTCTAGTCGAGAGTGCCCGACAGGAGATACCCTGAACCATCTTTCATCAAATTAAGCTTGTTCAAGCTTTAGCCAGAACCTGTTTATACGCTTTGTTATGAAATGTGTAAGGCATAGAAGGAGACAGCTCCCAACTTAAAAAGAATATATATATACTTGATCGGCATTAAGAGCCGAGTTGATAGACCGATTCGGCTATTTATGCTGACCAAGAAAATATATTCATTATGAATTGGTCGTGCTTCATTCTGCATTTGCCCAAAGCCAATATACTCATTTTCTCAATTTGAATGGGTTCAGGGTATAAATAGAGATCAAACACTCGGCATCCATTAGCAAAACACGATAATATATAAAAATATGTACGTGTTATATTAATGATAACAAAAAATGTTTATCGCGGCATAATGCGTATTGCGCACATTGACAGACGGAGAGCTCGAATAAAGTATTGTCCTAATTGAAATTTATGATAAATGCCACTCTTTAAAGGAACAGCAATATAAAGCTTTAGACACATGAATGTAAAAAACAATAATTTTTCTCTGTGTACTAAATTAAAACATTATATACTATACCTGATGTTTCGTATAGCCTCTTTGAACATGGTGATTGCGTGCTTTATATCGAATCCGTCATTTTCGGATTCCGGTGATCTATTTGCGATGCTGAAATAGCCAATATCATGCGCGAATATTGAGAAACCAGCCCAAACATGAAACAAGTAGAAAACAATCAGGGATCGCGATTGACTTTTTGCCGAAATTCCCAGCATTACAGCGAAGTTATTGTTCCAAGCTCAAATTGTTTTCAGAACCAACTCACTAAACAATTGTCGATTCTATAAATTAGCTCAAATAAAAAGAATGCATATTTGTTATTAAAGTGCTTCATGGGCAAACAATTCGAACTAGTTCACGTCGCGACTGCTTAAAGTTAACTGTACGCGGCTCAATCAGATTAATACGAGCGCTAATGCCATATCACTATCCATATCAGAATATTTAAGTAGTTAGAGAATTCGACCAGGCGATAAGCGCTACATGTGTATTGATTTTTTGATCCATTAATACTACAGTAAAACAAGTAACGAAACAACGACTAGGGGATACCCTGAACCCACTTCTTCCAACATCAAATGCATATATATACTATTTTAGAAGCTATATGTCAAGTTTGGGGACTCTGGCTCTTATTATTTACCGAAATTGCCCAAAAAACAGGATATGGATATCGATTTTTATCGATTGCTTGGAAACGGAGTAAGTTATCGATTATCGGAAACAAACTCGATCTGCGCAGGCACTAGGAGCACCTACATCTAAAATTTGAATATTTCCGCGCGGAGTTATGTCGTTTTGGAACGTCATATCTCCGCGGGGAGTTATGTCGTTTTGGAGTTATGTCGTTTTAGAACGTCATATCTCCGCGCGGAGTTATGTCGTTTTGGAACATCATATCTCCCCGTGGAGTTATGTCGTTTTGGAACGTCATATCTCCCCGTGGAGTTATGTCGTTTTGGAACATCATATCTCCCCGTGGAGTTATGTCGTTTTGGAACGTCATATCTTCCCGTGGAGTTATGTCGTTTTGGAGTTATGTCGTTTTGGAACGTCATATCTCCGCGCGGAGTTATTTCGTTTTGGAACGTCATATTTCCGCGCGGAGTTATGTCGTTTTGGAACATCATATCTCCGCGCGGAGTTTTGTCGTTTTGGAACATCATATCTCCCCGTGGAGTTATGTCGTTTTGGAACATCATATCTCCGCGCGGAGTTGTGTCGTTTTAGAACGTCATATCTCCGCGGGGAGTTATGTCGTTTTGGAACGTCATATCTCCCCGTGGAGTTATGTCGTTTTGGAACGTCATATCTCGCCGTGGAGTTATGTCGTTTTGGAACGTCATATCTCCGCGCGGAGTTATGTCGTTTTGGAACGTCATATCTCCGCGCGGAGTTATATCGTTTTGGAACGTCATTTTTCCGCGCGGAGTTATGTCGTTTTGGAACATCATATCTCCGCGCGGAGTTATGTCGTTTTGGAACGTCATATCTCCGCGCGGAGTTGTGTCGTTTTAGAACGTCATATCTCCGCGGGGAGTTATGTCGTTTTGGAACGTCATATCTCCCCGTGGAGTTATGTCGTCTTGGAGTTGTGTCGTTTTGAAACGTCATATTTCCCCGTGGAGTTATGTCGTTTTGGAGTTATGTCGTTTTGGAACGTCATATTTCCCCGTGGAGTTATGTCGTTTTGGAACGACATATCTCCCCGTGGAGTTATGTCGTTTTGGAACGTCATATCTCCCCGTGGAGTTATGTCGTTTTGGAGTTATGTCGTTTTGGAACGTCATATCTCCGCGCGGAGTTATGTCGTTTTGGAACGTCATATCTCCGCGTGGAGTTATGTCGTTTTGGAACGTCATATCTCCCCGTGGAATTATGTCGTTTTGGAGTTATATCTCCCCGTGGAGCTATGTCGTTTTGGAACGTCATATCTCCCCGTGGAGTTATGTCGTTTTGGAGCTTTGTCGTTTTGGAACGTCATATCTCCGAGCGGAGTTATGTCGTTTTGGAACGTCATATCTCCGCGCGGAGTTATGTCGTTTTGGAACGTCATATCTCCGCGTGGAGTTATGTCGTTTTGGAACGTCATATTTCCCCGTGGAGTTATGTCGTTTTGGAGTTATGTCGTTTTGGAACGTCATATTTCCCCGTGGAGTTATGTCGTTTTGGAACGTCATATCTCCGCGCGGAGTTATTTCGTTTTGGAACGTCATATTTCCGCGCGGAGTTATGTCGTTTTGGAACATCATATCTCCGCGCGGAGTTTTGTCGTTTTGGAACATCATATCTCCCCGTGGAGTTATGTCGTTTTGGAACATCATATCTCCGCGCGGAGTTGTGTCGTTTTAGAACGTCATATCTCCGCGGGGAGTTATGTCGTTTTGGAACGTCATATCTCCCCGTGGAGTTATGTCGTTTTGGAACGTCATATCTCGCCGTGGAGTTATGTCGTTTTGGAACGTCATATCTCCGCGCGGAGTTATGTCGTTTTGGAACGTCATATCTCCGCGCGGAGTTATATCGTTTTGGAACGTCATTTTTCCGCGCGGAGTTATGTCGTTTTGGAACATCATATCTCCGCGCGGAGTTATGTCGTTTTGGAACGTCATATCTCCACGCGGAGTTATGTCGTTTTGGAACATCATATCTCCGCGCGGAGTTGTGTCGTTTTAGAACGTCATATCTCCGCGGGGAGTTATGTCGTTTTGGAACGTCATATCTCCCCGTGGAGTTATGTCGTCTTGGAGTTGTGTCGTTTTGAAACGTCATATTTCCCCGTGGAGTTATGTCGTTTTGGAGTTATGTCGTTTTGGAACGTCATATTTCCCCGTGGAGTTATGTCGTTTTGGAACGACATATCTCCCCGTGGAGTTATGTCGTTTTGGAACGTCATATCTCCCCGTGGAGTTATGTCGTTTTGGAGTTATGTCGTTTTGGAACGTCATATCTCCGCGCGGAGTTATGTCGTTTTGGAACGTCATATCTCCGCGTGGAGTTATGTCGTTTTGGAACGTCATATCTCCGCGCGGAGTTATGTCGTTTTGGAACGTCATATCTCCGCGGGGAGTAATGTCGTCTTGGAGCTATGTCGTTTTGGAACGTCATATCTCCCCATGGAGTTATGTCGTTTTGAGTTATGTCGTTTTGGAACGTCATATCTCCCCGTGGAGTTATGTCGTTTTGGAACATCATATCTCCACGTGGAGTTATGTCGTTTTGGAGTTATGTCGTTTTGGTACGTCATATCTCCACGCGGAGTTATGTCGTTTTGGAACGTCATATCTCCGCGCGGAGTTATGTCGTTTTGGAACGTCATATCTTCGCGCGGAGTTATGTCGTTTTGGAGCGTCATATCTCCGCGCATAGTTATGTCGTTTTGGAACATCATATCTCCGCGCGGAGTTGTGTCGTTTTGGAACGTCACATCTCCGCGGGGAGTTATGTCGTTTTGGAACGTCATATCTCCCGTGGAGTTATGTCGTTTTGGAACGTCATATCTCCCCATGGAGTCATGTCGTTTTGGAGTTATGTCGTTTTGGAACATCATATCTCCGCGCGGAGTTATGTCGTTTTGGAACATCATATCTCCGCGGGGAGCTATGTCGTTTTGGAACGTCATATCTCCGCGCGGAGTTATGTCGTTTTGGAACGTCATATCTTCGCGCGGAGTTATGTCGTTTTGGAGCGTCATATCTCCGCGCATAGTTATGTCGTTTTGGAACATCATATCTCCGCGCGGAGTTGTGTCGTTTTGGAACGTCACATCTCCGCGGGGAGTTATGTCGTTTTGGAACGTCATATCTCCCCGTGGAGTTATGTCGTTTTGGAACATCATATCTCCGCGCGGAGTTATGTCGTTTTGGAACGTCATTTCTCCCCGTGGAATTATGTCGTTTTGGAACGTCATATCTCCGCGCGGAGTTATGTCGTTTTGGAACGTCATATCTCCGCGGGGAGTAATGTCGTCTTGGAGCTATGTCGTTTTGGAACGTCATATCTCCCCATGGAGTTATGTCGTTTTGAGTTATGTCGTTTTGGAACGTCATATCTCCCCGTGGAGTTATGTCGTTTTGGAACATCATATCTCCACGTGGAGTTATGTCGTTTTGGAGTTATGTCGTTTTGGTACGTCATATCTCCACGGGGAGTTATGTCGTTTTGGAACAACATATCTCCGCGCGGAGTTGTGTCGTTTTAGAACGTCATATCTCCGTGGGGAGTTATGTCGTTTTGGAACGTCATATCTCCCCGTGGAGTTATGTCGTCTTGGAGTTATGTCGTTTTGAAACGTCATATCTCCCCGTGGAGTTATGTCGTTTTGGAGTTATGTCGTTTTGGAACGTCATATCTCCGCGCGGAGTTATGTCGTTTTGGAACATCATATCTCCGCGCGGAGTTATGTCGTTTTGGAACATCATATCTCCGCGCGGAGTTATGTCGTTTTGGAACATCATATCTACGCGCGGAGTTGTGTCGTTTTAGAACGTCATATCTCCCCGTGGAATTATGTCGTTTTGGAGTTATGTCGTTTTGGAACGTCATATCTCCGCGCGGAGTTATGTTGTTTTGGAACATCATATCTCCGCGCGGAGTTATGTCGTTTTGGAACATCATATCTCCGCGCGGAGTTATGTCGTTTTGGAACATCATATCTACGCGCGGAGTTGTGTCGTTTTAGAACGTCATATCTCCGCGCGGAGTTATGTCGTTTTGGAACATCATATCTCCGCGTGGAGTTTTGTCGTTTTGGAACGTCATATCTCCGCGCGGAGTTATGTCGTTTTGGAACGTCATATCTCCGCGGGGAGTTATGTCGTCTTGGAGTTATGTCATTTTGGAAAGTCATATCTCCCCATGGAGTGATGTCGTTTTGGAGCTATGTCGTTTTGGAACGTCATACCTCCCCGTGGAGTTATGTCGTTTTGGAACATCATATTTCCGCGCGGAGTTATGTCGTTTTGGAACATCATATCTCCGCGCGGAGTTATGTCGTTTTGGAACATCATATCTCCGCGCGGAGTTATGTCGTTTTGGAACATCATATCTCCGCGCGGAGTTATGTCGTTTTGGAACGTCATATCTCCGCGCGGATATATGTCGTTTTGCAACGTCATATCTCATCGAAAAAGTTTCGATTTTCGCACCGACCTCGATTTTGAAAAAAAAAACGTGATGTAACCCCTTGCCATTTTGTCGATTTGGTTCAAAATTTTGAATTAAGCAGAGATACTTCCTTCTGCCTGTTACATACATTTGGATTTTGCACAAATACAATATACCCTTATACCCATTTTTAATGGGTTCAGGGTATAAAAATTGATAGCAGATAGACACAGTAGATACAGTTGGGTACAAATATAAATATAGGCAAAATAATTCAAATATAGTCCAAAGCTTGCGCTATCTAATTTTATATTTAATCTTAAGAAATTTGAATTGTATTATTATTTAATTTTAATTTAATTAATATACGTAACGTTTTCTTTTTCCAAACCCACTGAAAATGTCAAAATATGCACAAATACTGTTGTTGATCAACAGCTTGGAACTTTTAGGAGCTAAAGTCACAAAATTTGGTAAGTACACTCGCCTCGTTACACACAAAATTTAATGTATTTTAAGAGGTCCAAAATAAGGCTTTTGCAGTTGGACTCATATGTCTGCCATATATATGAGCTACAAATATTTTAAAGATCGGACAATAAACACCGAAGCGAAACACGAAGGCTTTTGCCTTATTGTTGGATTTTATGGTATGTATGCCCAGAAGAAGGGGCATTAAATTTCAAAAAAATTTTTAAATAGTTTGAAAGGATATAATTGATTAGATTCACAGTATGCCTTTGTCGGGCAGTTCCTACTTGAACAGTCTTGTTATTATACCATGTACTCATTGATAATGATAACCATTATTAAAATGGTTTTGTGCAAAATATCGATTTTTAGATTACGTGTTTCTCGGAGATAATAGGAGCGACAAATACGGTATTTAGTAGCTCGTATGGTGTATATAGATCCTCAATATCGAATTTCCTTTTAGTATATTCACACTTTGGATGCCACAATTTTGTCCTGAAATATGTCAGTGTTATGTACTTGACTAGTCAGCATTTCGCGGCCTTTGAAAATGCCTATGTTTCACTGTTGAGGGTGGATTTGTTAAAATATTTATACTACAGTAAAAATGTACGGCTTGGGCTGTGCATTCATTACCCAACAGTCAGACAAGACATATATACATATATATATATATATTTCATACATAAATTTTTGTAAGTATTTGCTTTTTTACAGTGTTTGGATTAATTTGATTAGTTCATGCCTTTTCGCATTTCAGGAATTGTTGGTCCACGTACAGCGATAGCTTCGAGTTGCGCTTAGGCAAAGGTGGCGGAGAGCTGGGCGTGTCTACGCAGGTGCCAAGCTTACGAGTTTCGCTAAATGGTATCGGCATTTCGTACTCGATGGGCTGAGCTTCGGTATTTGCAAAGGATTCTTCGAAATAAGTCGATGAGGAGCTAAGGCTACATGAGCTCGGTATCTTTACGCTTGTCGATGCTTCTAATGGCCTGGATGAAGAGAGAATTTTCATTAGTCAATTTTATATAAGTCTTTTGGGGCTCTCACCGTTTGTCTGCCATGCCAAAGGAACTCTTGTGCATATGATCTTTGTGAAAAGAAGGTTTGTTATATTGTGATTCAGCTATGGTGGATACGCAACATGTCTTCTCCGATTCCTTGATGACCATGACATTTTTTGAACCCTCTAAAAGATGTGGGAAGTTCTTAATGCCCAAATACGCAAAAACGGCACCAAATATTGTTGATATGAAAAATATCAGACAAAGCATTCCGATGGTAAACTGTTTATCGCTCTCAGCGATCCAGACGTCATCTGTATCATTATCGGGTCGGGCTATGGGTATATGCAAGGGCTGGCAAAATAATGGCGATATAACAACAACATTTATGGACATCATACAAAATGTGTAGGTATGATTTTCCTTCAGCGCATCAGTTATCAAATAGGGCTCATCATACTTCATGCAATTGTAGTCCCTTTCGGTTGAAGTCGCGAAACTCGTATAGCTGTTCAACTCTTCCGTAAACCAAATAATATTCAAGTTGTCTGATTTAATATATCCACCTATATAGGCGCGTACGCTATAATTTTGCAATAGTTCCAAGTCGAGATCATAAGTAGGAGGCTCAAAAACAAAATATTGATTCTTTTCAACATCTACATCTCGTCTGCTGCGATTATCGGAATACTTAGCCGAGCTTGTTATTGAAATTGCTTGCGAGCAACTCAACTGAACTATTGGACCGTAAATGCTGACATTTTTTACATTATCCTCACCGGAGTGTAACTCTTCGTGTTCCGTGTCTGGCGTTACATCTTGTAGTGCAATATTCCTTAATGCATCTCCAGTTAGAGGGATATTACTTTGCGATTTTATTGGTGCATCGCAGCCGAGCTCCACAGCGTCAAGTTCATCAAAACTTTTGCCATAAAGGCTCAACGGCATCCGGCAATATGGGGTACTTGCAAATAGATTTCTGTTTTCATTATAGAATTGGATAAGTGATCGTAGTTGACAATTGCAGTGCCAGTTGTTGGGCTCAATATCGAATACTCTGCGCCTGTTGCCGATAGCGAGTATATCGGCGTTGATATTGGTTAATAAATTGTGCCTTAAGTCAACTAAAAGCAAATTTTTGGCAATATCTTCAAACGCATCATCTGCGATCGCAGTTATTGAGCCGTGTTTTAAGTAGAGGTAAGTCACGTTCGGAGTTCCACTGAATATTTGTTTACTTAGAGGCCCGCTAAAGGTGTTATGGCTCAAGTCAAGCTCAATCAAATTTCCCAAATATATATTGTCGAAAATATTTGAACTACTTTCGAATGGTATGCCGCAGTTGATCTTCAGGTGTGTCAGTGTCATCTGAACGGGCTGCAAGAAAGTTAGCCCTATGTTGGGAAATTTCAAATCTATATCCAATTTCCTCAAGGCGTACAGACCCAGTAGAGCTCCACTGCTAACTTCATTGAGTTTTAGGTCCAGCCATGTCATATGTGTTACCTTTGCAAACATCGTCGAGCTAAATGCACCGGTTTTTATTTTCATAAATTGGCTTCTGATTAGCGACATTTTTTGCACCGTCAAATTCACATCAATCCAATTATCCTCAATGTAATGCTGCATTTGATCAGATATAACCAAGGAGCTAATTTCTTCACAATTACTTGCATTCATTGCATTAGCTGTCGCTGCGTAAATATTTTCGTTGTTGTAGCACTCGATGCGGCAAGATATTTCGCAACAGCCCTGTTTCGACTCGTCTGTAAGAAGTCTGGAAATAATAGTTAGAAAAACAAAATGCTGCATATATGAAAGAATTATTACCCCAATGAGTCAATCGACATATATGAATTGTCCTCATTTTTCTCAAAGCTGTCTCCCGTACTCTTGTCTTCCAAATCAATAGAATTCCTCTCATTGTTCACCCGACATACGATATATGCAACTATGGCGCATATAAATAATCCGAGACAAAACGTTAGCAAAATCCATGAAAATATTTTCGTGCTCGTATTTGGCTTTTGTGAGCTGAAATAATTTCAAAATGTTATTAAGGTTTGCTAATGATCGGCTTTAAATTAAATACAAACGTATATGAAGAGATAAAAGACGAAAAATTAGGAATTTTCATAAGCCCATTAAAGCGAATAAATTTTATTTATCTGATTTTAATATGCATATTAATTTCTGATAGCCTGTTAAAGAATTGAAAATTGGTTTCACATTAGAAAATTACCTGAGTGGCTCGCGACCTTTGCTGCCTTTTTTGTTTTCTTGGCAATCCTCTGCCATCTTTTCCATCTGCATTTTTGTAATGGGGCTTTTACACAACTGTCACGCATTTGCCAACTGATTAATACTATATTGAGAAAATCGCATTTGCATTTGGTATTGGCTTATCGTTGACCTAAACTGTATATGCTGATAAAGATAATACTTATTCATATTATCATAACTATGATAACTAAATATTCACAAATAATCAAATATTTCTGTATATATATATATCTGTATACATACAAATTTTTGTCCTGACTGACGGACAGAACGAAGCTAAATCTATCTTATAGAGATATGGGTCAAAATTTCCCACCACCAACGGCAAATCTGACGAGGAATTGGCTCAATTGGATCAAGTTTGGCAACTAAATCTGGCAACATTATTCTTGGTCGAAATTTATGTAAAAATAACATCAAAATTTCCGCGTAAGTCTTCTTCGTTCAGGGAGAATTAACAATGAGTTTTTGTATGAAATATTATATTTTCTTAGCTATTTTTACCCATCTCATTGTTTTTATTTTAACAAACCGGCTAAGCCGTATGCCAAATGTATTTAGATACTTTGTGTTCTTTTATTGAGTAGGCTGAGGTCTGTGAAAGATTGGGTTGCGGGAACGCCGGGTAATTTTTAGTTTGTTTATTAAACTTAAGCAATTTATTTAAATTATGGTCTTATAGTGATTAATAAAGCTCCTCATATAACTCAAAGCATTCATATGTATAACTGTTCGGATTTGTGGATATTTTATTTTTTTCTCCGAATGGTGGCACGGATGGTGCGCGTTCCAAGGGGGGTATATTGTACTTATTTGATTCTCCTTGGTATAGTTTCGCCTGTTCCAAATGGCGATAGTATGCTGCATATTCGTTTTTGTTGCTTTCGGATTTTGGGTAACTATTGAATGAAAATTGTTTGCATTAATATAGCACACATATAAAACGGACCTCATTCTCATATACTTACCCTATTGTGTTGTATAGCTCCGTATCAAAACTGCTGGGCAATAGAACCATAATGGAGGATCCCGGCGACGGACGCTGCAAGCGTTTACTTCCGCATAGCCAGGTCGGATGTATCCAGAGAACTCCGTACATTACGAATAGGCCCAAGGTTACGCATAATAGAACACCGACTATTCCAAGACCTACAATCAGCGAGCTGTTTGCCTCAAACCACATTTGCTTTCCGCTACAGGCCATAGTTTGATGCGAGCGACAATTGAATGGCGAGGTCGTATTTTCTTCTATCAACAGGCAAAATACGTACGCGGTGGCGCAGCTTAAATAATTAATTTTAACAGTTGTATCATCTAGTATTTGAAAGGCATCGTTATTAGAAATTTGACCCGTATCTTTTGCATTTGAAAAATATATAATGCTCCAAAACTGAGAGTCCAACTGTGATAGAGTAATGTGCACTGCGCTGTCAGAATCGTCTTCGATTTTAATTAGGGCATCGTAATATACTGTGGTGTTACTTATAGTTTCCTTGGCCGCATTAACGCATATGATACGATCGAATAAAGGAGAATGCTCATCGTCTATGGATTCGGTGGTCCTTAGATCCAATTCGGTTGTTGAGGTATTCCGTGTAGTCGGAGCCGGTGTTGTTGTGCTAAGCGTAGAAGTACTTTTGGTAGTTTTTATTGCAGCTGTGCGCCTTTCTGTTGTTGACGTGGACTCCGTTTTGTCGGTGGTTTCATAGCTATCCGGAAGCTCAGTGCTAATTAAATTTCGCGTTTTTCTGATCAGTTCAAAGCAAGACTTTATATTTGATGAATTTAAAGTATCTAAAGTAGTACAGCTACATTCCCAATTATTATCCGCCAGCTTGAGCGTAATACCACTTTGTATTGAATTGAATATAAGCTGAGAACTTAGTTCGGCAAGCATGTTTCCACTCAAGTCCAAGTAGCGTAGAGCACCAAAGCCAATGTTCAAATCAAAACTTATGCTGCTCAGTCTACAACCAGCCAAAATTAGATACTCCAAGGCAGGCATGTTCTCAAAACTGTTGGCTTCTGCTGATTCTCCGATATTGGTTCCACTCAGATCTAAGACTTTGAGACGTTGATAATCAGCTTTGCCGAAAAAGTATTCAGGCTTGTATATTCTATGATGTGTATATTGCTGATGAATTTTTGCTGAACATAGGGTGTTTGCCAGTGGTAGCATGAATTCTTTACAACGCAATGATTTTCTTCGATTGATCAGTGTGAAGTTAGATAGTTTATTTAGGCCTCGAAATGCCTTGTTACTTATATTTTTGAGCCGCGTATTAGTTAACTCTATTGTTAGAAGACTTCGTAAGCTGCTTTGATCAAAGGCGTCATCAGTAATATATTTCAGAACACAATTGTTTAAAATTAAACTCTGCAATCTGTATGCACCATCAAAAGTATTATTCCGTATTACGGCCCCAGGGAAGTGATAGTTTTTGAGGCGAAGTGTGAAATGATCATTGCAATCCGTTTTATTTTTGGCATGTTTCAAAACCAATTGACTGAAATTATGATTGCAATTAAGGCTTTCTGGCTTGCTGCACTGTGTTTTGCACCATTCGGCATATTGCGAGAATGGCAATTTGTTCAAATCAATTTTTACATGAGATGAAATCGTGCGTGATATTTTGAAATCCTTAAAATCCTGACTTTTCTGCGCCGGTTCACTTGAAAAGTCTACATTGCAAATTATTAAAAGAAGCACAAAGGCAATTGCAGCTGGTTGTATGATGTACTTGAGCCATCGGATTTTGCGTGGTTGATAAAGTTTCTCGGATTGTCTTGTAATTTCCTCATTATTCAAATCGAATGACTTGGATTTAAACATATTCGAAGTGTAAAAATCAATGCTTAAGCGATAACCGTCAACTTTTCAAGTTGTTCTCAGGGCACTAAACAGGATTGTGATTTGTGTGGCTAATTTACCAAATTAGTAACGCCCATTATCAGTTATGGGACCACCTTATTATTCAATTTTATTATGATAACCAAACAGATTAGATTACGCATTGGCAGGAATAGCATGACATGTATATGCTCACAAAGCAGTATATACAGGAAAGGCCAAGCACAACAGAATTCAATTCAAACAAATCACTTTGCTCTGTATAATATAATATTAATCGAAAAAAAGTCAAGTTAACTGGCGTGTGATCACCGAATCAAGCAAGCAGACGTGTTAATATAACTTATAAATTTGTAAGTTTTGAGCATAAATAATCAATTTTCCATATTTTTTTTCTTTTGGGATGGATCAAACAAGCAATGGCTCTGATGATGCTCTGCTTTTCCTAACAACTTGTTGTATGTTTAAGATTTGTCTCACTTTAGTTCTATATTTTTTATTACTCTCTCCTAATAAAAACCTTTGTCCTTAGGTAATTCATAATCAACCAATGGAATACAACAGGTTGTAACCATTGTTATAGACATCTGTTTTGCATAAGAATATAAGATTTACTTTAAACGATCGCTTAGAAACAAGAAATGTGAACGATTATCAGAAACTAGAAAGTAATCGTTACATTTTATTTATTTAAAATTGGCGCTCAGAAAATTATTCAAATTAAAATGAAAAATAACCCAATTTTATGTCTGTTTTAGGTATCCCCCTAGGGTAATTTAATACACATCGATATTTTTACATCGGCTGGTGATACCAAGAAACATCGGCAAACATCGAAGAAAGTATCGATAGTTCGATGGTTTCCCATCACTGTTATTGTCTAGATTGTAGTCGAAAAAAGTAAACATTTTTGTAAAGGCGATCCCAGCGAATATAAAAGTAAATATTAATATATTGATATTAAAACCCTATAGATTTATGAATAATTTATATATAGACGTCAAATTTACGTATGTTTGAACAAGAGCAGCTAACACGAAAGGTTCAGCGCCATGCAGTGAAATACAACAATAATAGATACATATGTACGGGTTGGAATAATTGAGATTTATAAATGAACTCTTAATGGTGAGTTAGGGTGAGGTATCAATCAATTACAGCAAGATGTGATGTGCACAAATTCGAAGTGCAAGCAATCCATGCTTGTGGCAGCTATTTATATGGGATTCGATACTGCCTTTCCAACTGTATAGGGCTTTTGTAAGAAGCCTTTCAATTTATAGACCTGATCCTGAAAAGGAAATGCGTGAAGATTTAAGGATTTTTTAACACTGGGTGTTAACAAAACGTAAACAAGTAACAAGTAACCAATAGACCCCTTTATCCTATTAGAGGAGCATTGTAGTTGTTTGGGTCCATTCTCAGAGGGCGTCATGAGTAGTGAACCGGACATACTGATTATCGCAGTCGTTATCCCTTGTTGAACCTGGCAGTCTTCAATAGTGGCAAAAAATTGCGTACTTGCGGACAGACGAACAGTGTTGATTAATCAATAAATATTGAGTGTGACCACGATTGATGGTTAAATTGAGTGAGACAGGAAAATGTTGGGGTTACTTGCTGATTTCATTCTTAATTTTAATTAATTTATTATACATCTACATACATTACACTATAGTCTATAAATGCCTGTGTTAACATTGCATTCAAATGGAACACATTATAACATAAATATATATTTTAATATATTTTCATAAATTCTTTTTATTTATTTTTTTTTTTAGCATTAAAATGTCCACAAATCAGTGGTTACACGGCTATTTTGCAAAACTAAATCCGTTGGCTGAAAAAATAGCCTTTGATATGAGCGAAGTGATATCGGCTTATGATCATGTGTGGCTTACATTAACTCCAGCTCAGCAAGATAATATACTTAATGACACTATTATAAAACCAGAAATAACAATAAGGTATTATAATAAGCCGACTTCTAATTCACAGTCTCGCAAAGAAGAATCCTCCAGATTGAGCGTACAAAACACAAAAAAAGGTTCAAAATGCCAGGAGCATGATATTATATATACGTATGACAGACTATATATATGCACATTTATTCATCAAAATGTGGGCTTCAAGATACTCCACGATGAGCACATTGGAGACTATCGTGATGAACATTCATTTCCATTCAGTTATAAAACCAAATCGCAACTGAATCTATCAGAAATTGGAACAAGTTTTAGCATTCCAGATGCTAGCATTCACGTGAGCCCCAAAAAAATACCACCAATTAAGAAGAAATCTTTAAGCGAACCTGAACCAGATCAGGAAAAACAAATAATATTATTAGAGGAGGAGCCAAAGCGAAGCAATTCAAATAATTGCACTAAAGCGATAAATGTAATCGCTGATGAGAAGTTTAATCTCTTATCCAATTTCGGATCGAAAAACACTCTGCTAAGCATATCGTCTGATTCGAATGATTTTGAAAACGACTCCAAGGAGCAACATTCTGAGAACAGTAAACTATTGCCAGAAAAAGTCCAAATGCCCAAAGGTTTCGATTTTTTAAGCAACTGGTAGCCTACTTGATTAAGTATGCGTAATAATATGCATGTCTTTACCAAAAAAAACAACCACATCATTTGATACAAAAAAAAGTCTGCTCAAACATAAAACCAGAAGAATTCTAAAAATAATAAAATTATAAACAAACTACATTTAAACTAAAATTATTTAAATAAACTTTCGGATTATACTATTTCCAAAATTGTAAATATTCATAACTCTTATGATCAGAGAGGTTTATCTAGCTCAGCATCATTATCCTCGACTTGAACTCTAAAGTTTTACAAGCTAGAATTACCAAATGTGGACATGTGGATACCATAAAATCAATTATCTTATGCATGTTCTTTTTTGGTTGTGAATTTTGAGTGTATTTTCTGCGGTGTATGTCTAGACTAGAGAACGAGGCACATCCAAATTCATAGTCGGATCTATGATCTATATATGTTATACCCTAGAGAGTATTATTATTTTGTCATGAAATGTGTAACGCATTAAGAGAGACATCAGCTTCAGGAATCACACTTTTGATTGCTTAACTGATTTATAGTTAATAATGAATTAATTAAAACCTTGAACAAACGTACATTGCCATTAATATTTTTACAAGTTTTTGTTTGAACTAAAGTCGATTTTTATTAAATATTCCGTTTCAAATGTATTGTATCTTAAAAGAAATCATTGCTAATTTAATTAGCTAGATGAGTGTGTACAATTATAGAATTTGGCAATGTTTTCTCTTAGTCCCACATTGCTATGAAATCCGCTAGATTATTGCCCCACAGCACGTGAGTTGAAACGTGTTCTTCCGAAACGGAATGATTGCAACTGTATTTATTTTTAAATACGCCTAAAAATATATTCATAGCATACGCGGCCAAACGGCACACAGCCAAAGTATTTGAACCCCTTATATATGACATTATAATTGTTTCAATATGTTTGTCAAAGCAGATCCGAGTACCTATGTATACAACTTACATTTGAATAATTTTGCAAAATAAATAATAAGCAAATACATTATTTTTTTTTTTTTTTATTTTAATTTTGTTGCAAACAATACTCGTACATTTTCATGTGTTCATGTTAATCGCCTTATTGTTCATTATATAAGGTTATTGGACTGCGTTTATTATAAATTAAATTGAATTGAAATAATCCGTGTCGGAGTACGCAAACGAATGTGCTTTTACTCTCCTCATTCTATTACAATAGAGATACTAGCTACGAATTTGTAGTCTTATAGTCGCTTGTGGTTTCTTCAACCGATTCGCATGTTACAAAATGAGCATAGCTAGGTCACATTTGTCAGAAAACTATAATTTAAATAGAACTAGTGTAGTGGCTTGCTCTTGACCACAAAACGTTGCACATTCGCCACTAATAAAATGGTTTTACAGTTGTTTATTCGCAATGCATGCATTTCAGTTTTACCTTTTCCACCCATTTTCCGCCTGTGGAAAATTATATTAAATTTTCAAATGAATCTCTAATATATGCTGAACTTACCTTATGTAATGCTAAGACGGGAGAAGCTCCATTCATTTCTATTTGGTGGAAAATTCACATCCAAGGATCTTCATGAAAAGTCATTTGAGACGTGGTTCGTAGAGTTCGTAGAATCCAAGCTTCCTATGAGAAATATGCGAGAATACTATCCGATCAACTACAAAATTGTTTTAAAAGGTTTTTCCAAAAATTGATTTCTCACTTCTTTGATTTTGAACTCGCAGACACTTTGTCCTAATGGAAAAACTCGGAGTAAAGACAGCAGCACATACACACAGTATATCATGCAATACTATCACAATTAAAATTCAATTTATTTCATTGGAAAAGGACACTCATATAAATTTTTTAACCGTGGCCAACGTGTTCTTAAACCGATCTTGTTATTCGTAAGCGAAACTATTTGATTTTATTGTCCTATTTCGTATATGCCCAAAAAGATTTGCCGTGTATCAATTTCAGGATAGCTCCCCAAGTTCGCCAACATATTTGAAAGAAAGCTAGAATGTTTATAGAAACTCCAAGCAAGGCATCCCGACCCAAACTCTTCCGTGTGTTGATTAATTTATAGAGAGATATGGTCGGATATGTAAAAAGTTTCAAATGTAAACACAATTGAAGAGGATTAAAAGTTAGTGGGACATTTTGTAAAGCAAACTTTGAGGCATCTAATCGTTAGCCTTGTCTGCACTTCCTTATGACGATTTTCTTGTGACGATTTATAGTGGTTTTTCAACGTCGACATCGCAAAACGTTTTTCACGCCATTTTCCTCGTAGCCAAATCAATTCGGCTTTACTTACTTGTGTTTGCACTTACGAGTGTTCATGTGTACGTAGACATTTTACTCATATGTATCTGCGTACATATCCATAAATATCCATACACATATATGAACATCAGCATGCATGCGAACGTTGACGTGCAGTCCGATTTATGAATGTTTCCGTTCGTGTGCCTCCATCATCGTTTTGACTTGGTCCAGTTAGTTCAGTTCTGTCATTTCGATCAAACATAGACATTTTCGCGTTCCGAATTTATTTCTGAAGGACCATATCGACACTCCAGAAATATATAAAACACCAATTTCAAAATGGGAAACGCAACTATGGTTAGTACATAGAAAAACTAATTATGTTTGCCATTTATATTTTAAAAAAATATAAAAAAAAACGGATAATTTGTTTTGTGCAAGTGTACGTTCAGGTGTGTGGCCATATAGTGTAGTATATCTTCCTGATCAGGTCGATAAGCTGAGTCGATTTAGAATTGTGTCTCTGGCACATTTCATAGGTAGAACCTTCAGGTTTGGTATACAAATAAATATATATATATAAAGCGTATAAGGATTTGGTATCAATAGCCGGTCGATCGTCTGTCTGTTTGCCAAAAACTTGACATTATATGCTCAGGGTGTATTCCAGGCATATCTAGGAATATATTATCAATTAAACGTTGGACTGCTCTAATTATGAAGTTTAAGCATAGGCACAGAAGGGCACGGAGGGCATAATTTCTAGGTGGGACGACTTCTGCTTCACATGTTACTCGTATGGGAACTCTTCTGTGATTATGGAGCCTCTCATTGTACCGAGCAACGTGTCGGTTGATTTTCTCCATACCTTACTCAGAATCTCTCAGCCGTTCCACAATGAGATGAATTGTAAGACTTCGGCAACCAGCTCAGCCTTCCATTTTTGGGTCTACACGCTGCAGAAAATCTCCGGATATGTTTGTTAGTTAGCTTTTTGCGAAAACCTGCTTGGACTCTACGTTTCAAGATATTTTTAAGATATTCAAGGTAGAACGGCGGAAAATAGTCTACAATTGTTCAGCGATTTTTTAGCAAATGTTACTGCAATAGCCTGTACTGGGAATCGCTTGAATCGAGCAGATTAACTTGTTTTTCGTTTAACCTAAGTAATTAACTAATGCGGTTTTTAGATCTTTTGTGTGCAGTTAAGCTGTGTGTACGAAGAAAATAAACGCTTCCGTTTTGAGCGCAAGTTTTTCGCAGCTATTGAGAAATGAAACTTGTAACTAAGGCAAACTTTAACTGTTGCGAAAACTGTTGAGTCTGTATATGCCACATTCTTCAAGCTAAAGTTAATAAATATTCACATTTATTAAAACTCTGTAGTCATAGAAAATTCGATAGATCTTCATTTAGCCGTATGATAGGGGATTTTCAGCCAAAGAGTGAGCAATCCAACAATTAAAAAGAAGATCGATGAAAACATTTCATGTTGTATAAAATTCGTGTAAGCTGTAATAATATTTTTTGAATTGTAGCGCGGCATATTAAGCATTTATTTATGTGGCAAACTACACACATGTATTTGCGAAATGCATCAACACATTCTTAGTTATAAATAAATTATGGGAAAGAGGGGATTATGAAAAGTAGACATGCCCCTACATACGAAATTCCTGATATGTGCAAAGCTACGCAACATCATGACAAGCGCAAATGGAAATTTTTTCGGTTTAAATTATAGTATGTTGCTCATCTTTCTATTCATTCAGGTAAATCAACTAGAACTTTTAGTGTATGTTGCTTCGCATTACCTGCACAGCCGATGCAGACATCGCGCGGGGCTGCCCACCTTTGCAACAAAAAAAAAAACTTTTCGCGATTGCGCCGTGGGCCAAATTATTCCTTCACTCTCATCCAAACAGAAAACGCAGGAGGTTTTTGTTATTAGTGGCAGTGACAGTTTAGCTGCAGCACTTCAAGACACGAGTTTGTTGAATATTCTCACGGCGCTGACGGTGGAAGTGCTCCAAGAAAACAGAACCTTCTGTCTCATTACTTCTTGAATTTTGCTAATCCTTTGGCTAGACTGTGCGTGTGTGTGTCGCTGGGAATTTAATTCCTTCACAAAAGATCGTTTCACTGCAAGCCGTACTCATCAAATATCTGAGATCATGTGTGTAAGTGAACACCTCAAGGAATAAACACTTAGAAAAATCATATGTAACTGGCTTAAAACTAAAATCAAAAAAGAGTCGCTTTCTTCGGCATGCCGTAGAATTGAAATATGAGCCAAATATTATCAAAAGAGGCAAATGTTATCACATAAAGTAGGATTGTTAACCGATTCTGCAAGAACAAATAAACGACATAGTTTTCCGGTATCGCAAAATATATTAATACAAATTTAAAATAACGAATAGATCTTATTTTGAAGTGTTCGTTTCAAAGAATTAATTGTCTACAAATTATTCATATGGCAGCTATGTAATATCGTGATCCGATACGCCCAATTTCTGTAACAAAAAGAGAGGGAATTTGATAGTCTCTCCTATCCACTACAGAGTTCATGTCGAAACCAGAAAGAACTGTATCTTATGGATATATGAGGAAAATAGTTAAGCACATGATTAAAACATTGGATAATTCAAGTAAAATCTATAAAAGTCAAGCTCGATCAAGATATTTTGTTAACAAAAACCGGATTTTCGACCAATCGTTCCAATGGCAGCGATATAACTTATCCGACCTATTCGAGTCTGTATCATGTATTATGGTAAAAAGATTAGTTTGCCTGGAAACAAAATGCTGGTATGGATGTATCGACTCGGCGGCTAATGCTGATCAAGAATTCATATGCTTTATAGGGTTGGAGATGTCTTTGGCTTACACATTTCATGACAAAATTGAACAACCTCTTAGAATACTCTATACAAAAGTAAAATATTGTCGAATTATGATTGATTAATTTTGACAAACTATTAGGCTATAGAAAAATTAAATCACTTCATTAATAATATTGAACTACTTACTAATAGATTGAAATAACTTTTGCCGTACTTACAATGAAAAGACTTTATAATTTGAAGTAAAGTCCATTAAACCTGGGAGAATATATATATTTAACTTCTAAATCAGAAAGTTTCTAAGCTTAATTTAGAACTAGCAACCGTCGAAACGTGTTTTTGTATGTTTTTATACCCGGAACTCATTGAATATTGAAATTTGGAAAGTAGACCCTCCTAGTGCCCGCATGAGGCGAGTTTGTTTCTGATTATCGAAAACTTGCCACATTTTTTAAGTAATTGATGAAAATCAATATCGAAATGCTGTTCATTAAGCAAATATTTTAGGTTATATAATATAGATAAAGTATCTTTCATTTTATACACACAATTATAATATTTAATGCTTAAGTTTGTCTGGATCATGTGTTACACAATTCATTATATCATCTAAATATACAGCCAGGTTAGAAATATCTTCAAATTTTAAGAGGCAATTTCGTTAACTTTTTCTAAACTTCATTTCTTTACAGGACGAACTAACAAAGGAACAAACTGCACGTAAGTAGATTGGCAGCTGCGATCTTGTTTTTGTTATATTTATTAATTTTTCTTAAATTGTTTTGCTCTGATCCGCAGTGCTGCGCAATGCGTTTAACGCATTCGACCCGGAAAAAAATGGATACATTAACACGGCTATGGTTGGCACCATCCTCAGCATGTTGGGCCATCAGCTGGACGATGCCACGTTAGCCGAAATCATTGCCGAGGTCGACGAGGATGGCTCGGGGCAAATTGAGTTTGAGGAATTCACGACCCTGGCAGCACGCTTCCTGGTTGAGGAAGATGCCGAGGCAATGATGGCCGAATTGAAGGAGGCCTTTCGACTATACGACAAGGAGGGCAATGGCTATATAACAACCGGAGTTTTGCGTGAAATTCTCCGTGAGCTGGATGACAAGCTGACAAACGACGACTTGGACATGATGATTGAGGAAATTGATTCCGATGGCTCGGGCACTGTTGACTTTGATGGTAAGCTTCAAGCGAACACACTTGGAATTTGTCAACAATATCTTTTCATTTCTTATTTTCAGAATTTATGGAAGTTATGACGGGCGGCGATGATTAAACTCTTCTAATTACCGGATGCCATTTATATAATATTATATTGGTAAACTAAAAGAAATAGAAAGAATAGTAGACGGAATTTCAAAAATATTCTTGGAGTAATACACTTGAACGCCATTTCGAATTATCTGTTAATGTATTTAATATATTTTGATTTTGGTGACCGTGATGCATCAAGTTTAATACTCAATCATTAAAAATTGTACTTTGCCCGAATTTATTAAGTTTAAAATTAAATAAACGGACGTGTAAAAAATATGGAATAAATGCATAGAACAATTTTATTCTAAGACTCGGCAAGGCTACAAAAATTAGTATTATTTTTTTTATAAACGCAAAATCTAAACCACTTTTGGGCTCTTTAGATCTCCAAGTGGAATATCGTCTTATTTTATACTACTAGTAATAAAAATGCAAATATTGTAATATAATTAACAAAATGTGCCTTTTAGTCTGCCGATAAAACTTTAATAGCACAAATCAAATAAACTGTTGAGCCCAAAAATAATTACATTTATACTCAACAGGTTACTAAACACATTTTGTCCTTAAACATCCATCCGTAAGTCTCTGCGTATTAATATAATTGGTATTAACATATAACTATTTGGATGCCCGGGTAATTTAGTCAAGTACATACATACATTTCTGATCTATCCCTTATAAGCCCATTGAAAATGGGCGTGTAATGATACTATACAAATGTATGCAACAGGCAGAAGAAGGCAGCTCCGACCACATAAAGTATATATATTCTTGATCAGCATTAATAGTCAAGTCGATCTAGCCATGCAAAGCGTCGTTCTCTGAATCTATAAGAGAAAAAAACTTAAGGCTTTTAATGTTGATTCTTCGACTCTGGCCCGTTTCCAAGGAATGAATTGAAATCGATATCAATATCTTTGTATCTTCTAGTATAGTATAGATAGATCATGTATAGACAGTAGATAGATCATGTTGAAATATATATTATATACAAAATAATGCCAAATCGATTGAATTGACATGTGTGTATGTAATTATGTATGTGTGGGCGTGTGTGTGTCTATGCAATTGAATTACCTTCTATACCAATAGCAGACGAATTTTCTTGTTGCGCGGCAAATTTAAATTAAAAAATGTATATATTAAAGCTACCATGCTCCTCGATTCTTAAAAATATAAGTATTGAGCAGGAGCACGCTTCACCTATGAATGACGATCAGGTCGAGCACGGAAAAGCATGGCAGAAGGAACACCAAGGGGCGGAGCAGGAGGCACATGTTTTATGTAAGCATGTATGAATGTATGCATGTATGAATGTATGCATGTATGCATGCACGAATGTATGCATGTTTGCATGCACAAGTGTATGCATGTATGCATATATGTAAATATGTATGTATATATGTAAGTAAACGTTTTTCGAGATTTGTCTACATATGTTGGTGGAATTTACAGAGAAAATTTCAACTTCTCAGCTCTTAATAAGTCTGTCAGCCCGGACAAACTGTTTGGACAAAACTTAAAACTTCCCAAAAACCATTTATCCGCATTTCAACCGAACCGAAGAACCGAATTTTTAGAAAAATCCTTGAAAATTTACTTAAGTCTTTTGAAATTCATTTCAGCCAATTCCATCAAGGAGGGATGGGAAAAAGAGTTTGAGCTCGATTGGATGGTAAACTAAAAATAATTTTGATGGTCATGATTGCATTTTCAATATTTGCATGCATTTCTTTTTGATTTTGAAGCAAGCCTGCGACTTGCCTTATTTTGAGGATTCGATTAATATAAACGTTTAAAGTATACTCATGTTGCATTTATCTGCTACAAAAACAAGATTGCTTTTCGGTCAAATTTTTTTCATATAAAGCAAGTTTATTTAGTTTTTAGTAAGCTGCTTTCCAAAATTTGAATACTTAAAAGCACTACAGTCACCATTTCTTCCAAAGTCGACTTTATTTACAGACAAAATGGCCGTAAGATTCAACTTTTGCTTTCTGATCAGCTTGTTAAGTTTGTAATATAATTATTTCATTGGGTTCAATGTTTTTGTGCAAATTCATGTAACAGGCAGAAGAAAGGTTGTCCGACCCTCCATAAATAGTCATGTCGATCTAGTCATGTCCGTCTGTCCGTCCGTCCGTCCGTCCGTATATATGAACACAAGGATCTCAGAGCCTATATAAGCTGGAATGTAGATCCTCCTAATGGCTGCGTGATAACTTGCCACGCTTAAAAGTAATTGTGTTTTTTGAGCAAATCTTAGAACAAGAATCCCCAAACTTGTTGCTTCTAGAATTGTATATATATATATATCAAGTTTTGTTTTGATTAAATCAGCATCTTCCCGCTAGCAATCCATAGCTATACATTAAGTAAATAAACCAATTGGTATTGCCCGTCAATTAAAGAACCCTCCATTTTAATGCAATTGTCTTTTTGTGAATGGAATTTCCCGCAAGCCCGTCTTAACGCGCCTTCTACTTAGCTCTCGCGGCTTGAGCTGTGCGCCATTCAATAGGTCAATCTAGAGATATGGTTTTATGCTTGGGAGATACTTATAACAAGTAATATAAAATTTAAATAAAATGCCTTTCTTTTGATCTGTCTTATCATATTTATTGGCCATTTTTTAACGCTCAGCCAGACTTGTCAGCCTTTGGCCAGCAGCGCGCAGAGATGCGTTCGCAGGCATGCGTAATGCGGCTTCTATGTTATTTTATGGCTTGCATGCATATTTGCTCGGCATCGATTGGTGCTGACGACGACAATTTGGCATTTGTTTCACAAGTTGCTTTGAATTTTGCACGAATCGTCGGTTGATATCCCGCCCCGTGGTGACATTTTGTCGCTGTCGTTTATATACGGCGCACAGACATAGATCCGTTTAGACGCTGGCGCTAACTCGATCTGATCGAGAGTAAATTGTTAAATTGGTGCAACTCTTTCCTCTGGCTGAATATTCTAAGATATCACTCGATAATTTCCAAATTCGTTTTGTTATTGGTTTTTTTTTGCTTTTATAAAATAAACAATGGTGAGCTCGTTATATAATTAAAATGCCAATCTATAAATTAATTAAATAACGCATTGAGTGTACAATTGTGTCTCGCAAATAAATCAATTAAATGCTTGATTTCGACAAGTGTTTGGCCTTGATTCGAACTGAAAATTGTCTAACGTGTTAGAGGACATTTGTAGGGCATATATATGTTGCATATGGACATTTGCAAGAATAATTTTTCATTTACCCGATTATCAATTTAAGATCTTGCTCTAAAAAACTGATGATATCGATTTTGGACTGCCTTTTATTTCGTTTTTGAGTATTCAGCTTATATTTAAGGCTAATTACGTTTCATTCGAACTAATTAAATCTTTCCTATTTTAAGAACATGTGAATTGACATTTTCGTGCCTAATGAGTACGCGCAGTGAAACATGGCAGGGCAATAAAATTTCTCTCCTAATTAATCTTTCTTTTTGCAGGCCGAGGGGGAGTACGACAAAGATCAATTGAGAAGTACATAACTAGGCCAGTTCGCCTGAATGATACGTTCGCTAATCTCATGTCTTTTTGCCAGTTCTGCGCAATGCCTTCAAAGCTTTTGATCTTGAGGGCACCGGATGGATCGATCATAAGGACGTCTCGGCCATACTCGAAATTCTGGGCCAGAAGCTTGAACCACCAGCTGTGAAAGCGCTCATCAAGGAGGTCGACAAGGGCACCACTGAGAAATTAAATTTTAGCCAATTTTGCAAGCTAGCGGCTCGTTTCATCGAGGTCGAGGAGGATGTCGGGGCCCTGCAGAGTGAGCTGAAGGAGGCATTCCGTGTATACGATAAGGAGGGCAAGGGCTACCTGACGGTTGCCACCTTGCGAGGAATTCTTCACGAGCTGGACGACAAAATCTCGAGCCAGGATTTGGATTCGATTATTGAGGAAATCGATGCCGATGGCTCAGGAACTGTTGACTTCGATGGTAAGCAAGCTTGCATTTCTGCTGCATTGCACCCAAAACTAATTCTCATTTCTTTCAATTTGTACAACTTATTTCAGAGTTTATGCAAGTGATGACAGGTAATAATAAAACTCGCCCAATATTCATTCTATCACATATATATATAGTACTTATCCCATTTTTTATCATTCGATTTGTTGCAACTGATCTGAAAACCGGATCAAGTCAAAATTGAATTGTTGTAAACATTTAGAATTTATGGAAAGTCATCTGGGACAACAAATTATGTGAGTCTGTCTGTCCGTTTGAAATAATAACAGACTTACTTAAGGAGGAACATATGAAATATATATTGACACTGCCTGCAGATATCTTCTATATCTAAGTATATCTGCTAAAAAAAAATAGACGAGGTCCACAAAAAATTGGCGTCACGGAAGCCACATCAAGTTTGTTACTTGGGTTATTTATTGGATAGGACATCTCTTATTTCCCAACATTTAAAGTAGAATTCATGAAACGATTTTGCATTATTTCCAAACTTAGACGCATTTTTTGTCGTATTAATGTCACATATTCTAAAAGCCTTATAGTCGAGTATTTTGCAATAACAAATTCATTTCTGTCGTTTTAGGCTAAGTTTTGGAGTACCAAACAATAAATGCTTTGAACTTTGACCCTCGAACCTGCTGAAGTAGATGCACTGGACATGGTTTATGAGACAGTGTTTTTATTGAATCTTTTGATTTACAAATGAATCTAAGAACTTTATTTTGTTTTGTGTAAAATATATATATGCAAAATATATTCCAAAACTACAATAAGTATAAATAAATTACTTTTCAGGAACTGTGCCGGCATTGAGTGTCTATACAAACCTTTTTGTTCTAAAAGTTTGAAATTGGAAGCTGCATTTTTCGCATAAGTCACCTATTTGAATGTAAGTGAAGAGTCCGATCAGTTTTAAAATGAATTTTCGGAAATGGGTGACAAATTTCACTTTAGTCCAGTTGGTTTCACACTCGCAGTCAAAGTTCTCTCTTCATAACACTTATAACAAGTTGTTTCACTCTTAATCCGCCGCACTAGGTGGAACTAGACGGGTTTTTGGCTGTGCAAAGTTTGTAACTGGCAGATGGCGGCTTCTCTATTTTCTTGGATAATATCAGATAAATCATTTTTTTTTGCTTAGTAACATTTGAATTTCCGGTTTCAATTCAATGTCCGCAGCCGGAAGGTACCTGTTCTCGCGACTTCAATCTACATCCGAAACTGTAACGCGAAAATGCGACGAAATATCAGAACTTCCACGTTTTGCAATGCCAATTCCAGTTGGAAGCAAGCAAAATCAATTTTAAATCGATTTAGATATGTTTGTTAAGGCTTGGTCGTTCGACTATATTTCTTTTAACTTTGCTTTAGTTATTGAGTTGCGTTTGCCTCAACCTTGGACACCTCGTTGTTAATTATAGCACAGATAGAGAATAAGTTGGTGTTACGCATGTGTTCACGAAATGAACTCATTAAAAACGCGCTTAATAAGCAATTAACTAATTTTTTTATTTAAGTGTTAAATTTTGTTTTATTAAGCACTCGATCGATCAGCACCTTCTGAACTCTGACAAGCGAAAGACTGCGATATAAGGTATACAATGTTCATATACTTAAATGGTAAAAAAATTAAAAGCTATTTACAAGGGTGGGTTGTTTACAATTGAGGCTTAAGAAGATTAACGACATATGCCAATACAGTAGAGTATTTAGATGATTCACCTCGTTGGAGACGCCTCTCTCTGTAGGTTCAGCCAGGACCCAGACGCTGATCTTCGGCCTTTGTTAGAAGGCGAGCGCTTTATTAACTAATTAAGCACTTTGCTTTAAGCTAAAACAATTTTTAGTTAGTTAAGCTATTAGTCAAATGGATATACTAACTCTGCGCAAGTGTATGTAACAGGCGAAAGAAAGCATCTTCGAGCCCGCAAAGTACAAAACTTGCAGTATTATCGATTTTGAAATATATATACATAACTTAATTATTTTAGGTGATAGGTACACTAAACCTGGTGTTGTAAGTACTCGGTGGGATATACAGACAACTAAAATATATATATCATATAAATGTATATATAGAAAGAAATAAAGGGTGCCTCATAGTCGGGCAAACTCTTGTATTGTAAATGGACTGTTTGATTCTCGTGCTGTATATGTAGAAGGAAGTAAAGGGTATCTCATAGTCGGGCAAACTCTTGTTTTTTAAACTGACAGTTTGATTATCGAGCTTAGTAGTAGTAGTAAGTAGTTTGCTTTGTATCCTCAATCTTGCAAAGCGAACTCAAGCTTATGCTAACTCTCTTAATTAGATTAATTAATTATATTAGATTATCTTAAATTGAAGGACTCTGTTATGTGTAGATGGGATCTTAAGTTAGGACTCGTGATAACTGTGAGCATTTGTCGCATTTTCCCATAGACATTTCGACATTGGGTTGCTATTGAGCTCAAATTTATAATTACATGCAAATCTGACTAGGTTAATGTAACTAAATTAGTTAGTTCGTTTTATTTTGTAGCAATTCGAGCATCAATTGTGCCTGAAGTAACAGCAATCGGGCTGAGGGTAACCGAATAGCATTGAGCACAAAATCGTGATTAACTTCGAGAGTTTAGTTTTCGCAAGCCATCACATGAACAAAGCTAATAAAGCTCAAGAGTCTTTAGTTTTACTCATTCCACCTTTGGGCTTAAGGTGTTTGGCCGCAAAATAAAGCAACAAATTCTCTCAAATTATTCCAGTTTCTGTCTAACGCAGATACAAATCTTTTTTATTTGCCAAGCACAATGAAAACGAGAGTGAAGGTATTTTAATTGTGGGCAGGTTTTTCACCTGTATATACGTATATTTGTGCATATATATATATATCTATATGCATACAAAAACGGATGTTGACCAACGAATTGCTTTGAAAAGCTCTGTATTCAAAACGTGTATAAAACAGATCTATAAATAATAGATAGGCAGGGCAACTCAACCAATAACTCACAAATCCATTCATATGCTCAATCTTCATCTCAGGGATTTTGGTTGGCTTATTACTAAAACTGCTCTTTAATATGTGAACAATCTAAGCTAAAAAGGAGCGCATACAAGGAGCATTCCTCTTCATCAAGTATTCACATGGAATAAAAGGCCTTATATTTATATAAATGTATAAGTTCTTCTGGTGCATAAATTGTCGATCAGATACTTGAAATCTTGTCTTGGCTGACTGATTGAATGACTGACTGATTGACATTATTTTATAGAGCCTTGCATGAAACTCGAATGCTTCATTTATTTTACGAAAAATTCCAAATATATGCCTAGGCAGTAAATATGTATTGTAAAGTATCGTAAGTTATGCACAAGCCAAACAATAATTATACAGTATATCTATTTTTTTTCACTTTTAATGTGCTTTAAATATATATTGTAAGTTAGATTACTTAACAAAGTGCCAAATGTCATTTGTATGCTCTGGAAATGTGTTTCTTCAGTACATTTGTTTTTGTTGTTATTGTTTAAATGAGTATTTTCAAAACAGTTGTAACTAGATTTATTTACACAAATGGGCAAACCTACTGGCAAAGCACGGAATCATTCGAGAATGAGACTCGCAACAGGCAATCGGCTCATTTGGCAAGTCAGTTTTCTCTTGCTGCTTTGCGCAGTTGCGGCTGCCCATCTGCATATATTCCTTGATGGTAAGTAGGCTGACTGACAGCAGGCACTGTGACTGATATACGTGTATTTGTGTGTAATAGTGTGCTTGCACAACGACGTGAAGGTATCCTGCGTACCGTCTTGCCCAAAGATCTGCGTGGACAACCTCATAAGAAGGAAGTGCAGGCCGGTGAGGTGTAAGCGCGGGTGTGTATGCAAGGACGGCTGGGTGCGACAGGGCTCGATTACGGGAAAGTGCATTCGGCGGAGCAGCTGTACGCGATGGGTCATCTGAATTGTTAAACAATAATTAGAATATATTTTATACACAAATACAATTAAAAAGTGCAACGCAAGTGTCAGCATTCAGGCTTAGCCCCACATCGCCCTTGTCCCACCTTGGCCAGTCGTCATTTCAGCCACAACACCTGGAAATTAGCTGCCTCCCAAGCAAATGCAATTTAAAGACCACATTTCACATTTGACGTATACCACGTTGGGGTGAACCACCGAATTAAGTGGCCGAGATGACAGCACTCGATGCTACCTGCGCGTATCTACATACACACATGGATAGATGGATGTGTATATAATGTTTGTGATTTGCCCACCTGGCTTAGGTATCCGACCAACAAATAATCAGGAACCTCTCAGAAAGTGGGCCTAGTAAAATTCATAGATATATTACCAGTACATCAATTATTTTATCATTATTAACGTTGCTATTTAAGCCATTGTAAAAGGATTCATATGAATTTATGTAGATACACACACATGTAGATACATTCTCATACATGAACATGCGCGTAGTAGAAAAGACAGGAATCGCGTTTAACAGTTATGAATGAAAGCATAGCCAAAAGCAACTTTCTGTTACGTTCAACGGGTCACACTTGTCTTCGCTTACCGTAAACGATATTCGAAAAGCTAAGCTTAGCTGTGAGTGTATTTAGATATGGATGGATCCCATGTACTGCATTTGCAGGCATAATATTCGCAGCGACAGCAGCAGCTTAGAAAATGAACATTCAAATTTTGCGTATGCGTAATAAATTTTACGTATCAAAAAATAAACCATTAAATTATTGTTTTATGCAATTAAATAAAACCGTATATATACAAATATTTAAGACAAGATATTCCCGATAATATACATACATAAATACGAACGTACATAAATACATTCGTACATATCATTAGTACATACGAATGCTTTGTATTAACATACTCTCTAGCGCACTTCTGTGCTGGCGCTCTTGTCTGTTCAGAGCTTTTTAGAGCTCGAGCTTGAGCTTAAGCCCGTTATGTTTGAGCTTGAGCAGCTCGTTTTGGAGCTTCGACAAACTCTTTTTGTTGTTACGGGCATTCGTTGCAGCCACTTCTTGCGCTCTTGAAGCCATCGCGTGATTCACTTAGCCATTCTCCGCCTGGTCGCAAGCTCGACCGCAACTGCTTGCAGCGACTAGTCTGTGCGCTCGAAAGATTTTATATAGTCATACGGGTCCGCCTAGTGCTTCAGTTTGGTGCTTAGACGCGGTGCGCGTGCTTCGAAACGCTGTACAGCATTTGGAATTCGTCTTGTATTTGTGCGACTGCGTTCAGTGATCAGATCTAGATTAGCTGACCGCTTAGTGGTCGAAATAGCCGAGCCCTTGGGGCATAACACAAGCAACGTATAATAAAAGAGTATCCTGTTGGCCGAAAACTAGTCCAAAAATATTCCGAATATTATACAAAGGCGACTGCAGTGTTTCCCCAGTGCTCTGTGAAATACAATAATAATACAATATTCAGTTCGTACATTCAGCAATTGCGACAAAATTTGTTTAAAATGTTAGCCAAGTGGACCATGTCGCAAAAGGGATTAAAACACCTGCTTGGACTTGTAGCTGTTATTACAATACTTTCGGATTTACCAGTGGTTCAGGCTGTACGGATCGGCGCTCCACAGCAAAAGCAACGCATTAAAGGTAAGTCTTAATTAATATGTTTGCTTATATAGCCAAAAAAAAAAAAAAAAAAAAAAACAAAGTGCACAAATTTGTAGCTGTTAATCGATTTATGTGCTCGGCACTCTCCAATAAAGACTTTTAACAAATTAATGATTAAACGAATTTGTATGCTTCTCATTTTCAATATATCCGTAATTGAACTAACATTTGTTGTTATGAGCGGGAGCGAGAGCACAAACTTTAATTTTAACTAAAAATTAATTAACATGGCGGCGTGGCCTTGTGCATGGTCCGAGGAGCACTTTCATTTTTGCGCTGAGGAAAACAAACGTGGCGTTTATTAAATATCCAAACGGATGTACGTACATACATGCATGTACACACATGCATGTACATATGTACTCGTCTATCTGGCATGCATGCACTTGCATACATATGCCATATCTCTGCCAGCTATCCATCGAGCATAACTAGTTATTAGTTATAACAACTAAAACACACGCACTCAAAAAGTGACAATAACGCGCATTTTATTGCATATATTGTTATACATATATATTACATACATATTTATATTTATTAAGCTGTCACTTTCCATTTATCTTGCGAATGACATCGAAAACACTCGAAATTAAAATCTTTTTCGTGGCAAAGTTCACTGAAACGGAGGCAACACACGAAAGAAAAGTGAGCGAAATCAGCGCGAGTAAGAAATACAAGAAGAAGAAAAACAGTAATTACAACAAAAAGAAGCAGAAAATAAAAGTAAAAGTGATATTACTCTATGGCTTAGGTATTTTTACAAATTATTATCCATCATTCTACAAAGTTCGTGAATGTTGAAAACGCAATTTTCGAACTCCATTAATTGAATTAAATCATATAATTAATTGTGGAAAATGTATGATTCATATAAAGTTATTTATTTAAAAAAGCATATTTCATTTAATAATATATATAAATGAAATATATATATATTATTTCATATACATATATAAACCGTATTTTAGTATATTTATACTAACCATGCATGTGTGCATACAATTTGACGTAGATATTATTTAAGTTTAAGTAGATATATTAGCAGTTGTTTTTGTATTTAAGCAACATGAGATTAAATTGTCTTTTGTTAGATTTGTTGTTCGCCAAACGAATCCAAGTTGTCACAGCTTAAGATTATCGAGCTACTCTATTAATACAATATACATCCGTATACATTTAAGTGTATATGGAATATATGCATGTATGCATGTATATATGTATCCCGATATACAAACTTGACATTCGTCTCAAAGAGAGCGAGACAGAGACACACAGAGACAGCGAGATAGAGAGAGAGAGAAATTGCTCTATTGTACATTCAAACAAATGCAACTGTCAGTGGCCGTGCTTTTGCCAGTCAACAGCGGGTTCAAACTACTATAATGTACACACATACAATAATACTACTTACCCACACATACGCATACACATACACATACATTTTCATGTTGCCATATGTATATATATATATATATTTTCATCGTCTGCAAGCAGTCGCATGTACAAAGCAGACGAGGAAAATGCACATATGTGCACTCATGGCTTGTTATTGACACGAATCCTATCAAGTCAGAGAAGAAGAAGTATAATTAACGGAACTGCCGACTTTGAAGGACAGTACTGTTAGGAGACTAAGCCTCCATTAAATGTAATAGTCTAAAAGCTATTATCTAGATCGAGATAGATCTCAATGGATCTAGAGATCTCTTATAGCCTGAGTGGCATGTCTTAGGAAGTGCAGGAATTATTGCATATATAAAGACTTTTTGGATTAGATATAAAATTTGAGTTATATATAATATTTATTGACACTTCTTATACTTTAACTCTAGTCAATTGAACCTTTACCATTTGGTATTGTCAAGGTATACTATGCATATTTAACTCAACCAAGTTTGCTCGTTCATATTTTAGAGATATTACATAAACATGCACACATGTATTTTCATTTATGTAGCATGTGTATTGTTGGTAGACGCAACATGCCTTTCCCAACAAAAACCCACTTCGGCTTCCTCCGACCGATTATATAATCGCTAATCTCTTTTAGAAACTACAACCAATTCAATAGCACCTATAATTTATTTATTTATTTTTTTTGGTGTATGGTATAAGTCTTTTTACCAGCTTACTTTTCTTTCGGCCTAACCACAAAGAGCCGAGCCCTTCTAAAAATGAAGAGTGAAACATTTTATTACTATTGAATATACATAAATTATTGATTACAACATTACTAATATTAATATTAATTGTTGCGTAATAATACTATTTGAACAGCTAGTAGATCTGCGGCAAAGTAAATATCCTTCTGATCCACGATTTATAGTATTATATTTCGACATTTCCCAAAACACATACTTAATGATAACAGTTTTTTTTTTTTTTTTGCGTCTGGAAATGACGGACGGTGATTGGCGAGAAGCACTTAGTCGACATTTGGTAGTAATTAAGCCTGATTAAGTTATCCAGTTGGCCAAGTTTAGCTGAAAACGTGTCTAAATGGACTCATTTCGACCCAATTCGGCATCCGTTGATTGGTATGCAAATAAATGACTGCCCACAGATCAGGTGTATTATCAAAGTTATTTCTATCTTTACTTGAAAATTGAAAATTACGTAAATATGCCAAGTAAACTGGCAAATATGCAGCAGACATTTGTGAAACTTTCACGTACATTTATTGTACATTAATGTATAGATGTGTATGAATAAGCACAATGCAACCTGGCATTTTACGATGATTCGTTGATTGAAAAGTACTAAAATTGCAAACTGAACCATTTTATAGCACAATAAAGGCATGCACAAGGTGTATGCCTAGGTACATATGCATGTATATAGGCGCTTGAATGAATGTACGTACGTATGTATGTATGACTGGGCTTTATGGGTAACTATGGTGGTGCTGATGTTGTTGTTGTTGCAGCTGCCACACCCAAAATCAAACTGCAATCGACTTCAAATACGACGGCGACTGAGCGAGCACGTTTGTCAAAATTGGCTTTGATGGCAGCGCGAACAAAGACCCAACCAGATTTGAACGCAATATGGGTGTAATTATTATAAAGTAAAAATCAAACTAAAATCGCGGCGGCAATTTACTCTAATTTCCTGTATGGCGACACGCTTGCCAGTGTGTGTATATATTTTTGCCTACATATCACATACATCATAATATGCATCCGCCATATATGGAAAGCAAATAAAGTAGGAAACGGCGGCACAAGGTGCAAGAGTAATGGGCCAAAAGGTGGGAAGCCTTTTGATAGCAATCATTAAGACCTTACATATACATTCCACTTTATGTAACATAAATTCCAATATGTGGATACCCCTACGTATACGTGATATCATATCCTTTTGCTAAAGAAATGTATGGGTTGATTGTGTTATTTGTCAGTTGCAATGCATATTATCTATATATATATATACAAAAGCCAAAATAAAATTAAATGTATTTGTTTATGAACATACGCTCATTTGTTTATGCACATGTTTGCACACGGACATACATGTGTGCATATTAGATGTATGTATGTACATAGGTATACATGCCAAATTCAAATTCCATAAGCAAACCCGTTGAACCCGTTGCAAACTCAATCTGTATCTGGGCGCTGAGACTGAGATACACTTTTTACTTTTCACAGAGCTTGCCAGCAAATGTCACGTTCGGTTTTTGGGTTTTGGGTTTTGGGT